CTCCTATGCCATGTCACTTACTTAGTAATTGTTATTGAATACTATATGAGTCCATTTACCATAGATCCTATGATGGCCACATGGGTGTCCTGGGGTTCCCTGCTTAGGCATAATTAACAGGGTGGTAAACCTCATATGGTATGGGGTGATAGTGACTAAAAAATTTTGTAAATTTTGTAGGGCATGTATCAATTCATTTTTTCTTTAAAATAGGTGTCTTAGCGTTGGCACACTTCCTAGACAATTGTGGCTATTAATCAGGGTAATTCTGAAGGGCAGTTGAATATGTGAACTGGGATATAGATTTTTACTCCTATAGATAAATAGAACTTTTCAATTATAGAAGTTTTCTTTTTTAGTTTTATTTTTGGTTTATTTATTTTCTTTTTTATTCTTGTTGTTTTCTTTTTCCCTTTTAATTATGGATATAACTATTTTTTCTTTTTCGTTTCTCATTCTGTTTGTGATTACATTTATATTGACTTAGTAATTTTATGCTATATTAATAAATAATTGGATTTGGGAAAATTTTAGTGTATAAATGTGTATGAGCGTATGAGGCTATATATATGATAATAAAGTACACAGACATAATTGTACTAGTGTAAAAAATATATAAACAATGGTTATCATCAAAATATAACTAAAAAAATTTATTTAGGAATTTAAGCTGTATGTAATAACTCTATTTATATAAGAAAAAAAAAATATTTCGTAAACGTTTTTCTTTAAAAAAAAAAAAATGAAATACATTTCATGAAAAAATTTTTAATAATTCAGGTTTGAACACTGTATATCGTTCTTTTTCTCTTTCAAAATAAACGGTCCATTAAACTAGTTAAACCATATTCTTGAATATACCAACTTGTAGCATAAATAGATATGGTAATAATTAAAGCCGTAAATTCTTTGATTAAATATATATAAAAATCCCATAATGTATCTGAAGAATTATCAGTCATGGCTTGTGACTTGTATAAAGTGAAATAAGTGAATAAGTGAAACGAAAAAATTTGAAAAGATACAATAAAGTAAATTAAAACTTACCTCTACAAATTATATTTTTTTTCTATCAAATTATATTTGAAAAGCGAGATATAGTTTTCTTGTTTTTCTTTAAAAACTATAATAATATTAAGTGTTGCTTATATATAAATATAAATATATATATTATATATCAGATAAGAATTTATTATGTATAAATAAAAAATTATAAAAATTTAAATAAACAAAAATTACATTTTTATTTTGTATGTTTTTTCCGGAAAAAATTTTAATTTACATTTAAAAAAAGACGATAAATAACAAATTACGTAACAGGAAGTACTCCTTTTTTTTTTTATACATGTATGTTAAAAACTACTGCATTAACACGCCGAATAAAAAGATCGGTCATTAAAATTTCCAATTATATACATTATATTAATTATACATAATATATCTGATATGTAAAATAATAAATACCTATATAATTAAATTATTAATAAATTTAATAAATTATATATATACTCTTCATTAATTCCCATAAATTGTGATAAATTTTTTTTTTATATTCTTAAATGTAATTGAAAAATAAATCAATGCACGATTTTTTTTCTCATGATGTATAACTGAAATGAACTCGTTGAAGATAGGAACTGTGAAAGTCATGGAAATATTATAGAATCTATGTTTTGTGCGTTGAACTATGGTATTGCCGAATTACAATAAATGAACATAAAATAAAAATTTAATTATCTGGTTATCATTAAATGAATATCATTTAATTAGTTAAAAATTACTTACATGATTAGCCGTATTTAGTCTTTCTTAATTATAATTTCTGTAAATAATGAAAAAATGAAAATGAAAATTCAATACTTCAATAATAATAATAATAATGAATGTTGCATCATAATAAAAGAGGGAGTTCAAATTACCATAATTCCTAACCGTCCGCCGACTTCTGTTACTCCAAGCCTTTCTTATAACTTTCCAATGTTCTTTCGTCAAATATTGAACCAAGAATCTTAAGTGCACAAAATCAAATGTATTACATCAAAAGGTAAACCTTTTACTATATCAATGAGAGAATGAAGCATTTGATGGAATCCTGGAATCATCAGGAGATGGATACATTAATGCCATGTCTATTCCGTAGAATTTAGAATTTGGAAATTGTGGCGCAACACCTAAAATGAATGACCCGTTTTCACATCTGTAAAAAAAAAGTTATGGTTTAATATTTCGTTTTTTTATGAGAATTTAACATGAACCTACCCAACATCTAAAATCTTTGCGCTATTTTTAACTTTTCCTCCACAGGGCCGAAAAATTTGTATCTGAATATTAAATGTCTTAATTGAATTCTATTTATATGTCCATTAATCATTATCCGATTATCCGATAGTAGAATTTCTTAAGATGCCATCGTAAGTTTTTTGGGTCAACTAAACGAATAAAGGAGAAATATATCTGGAAATATGATAAACTGCATTGTGAAATTTCTGAATTGGAGAAGGACGATGTTTGAAGTCAAGATGACAATTTCAGTTTCTTTACGGATCATATAAGTTTCCATCGATGCTAATATTTTGAATGTACAATACAAAATAATATTTATCGTAATTTAAAATCTGCAAGAAACCTCTATCAATTTGTTATTTATTTAATTCAGATATTTCGGTGGGTGTGTTTACTGTTAGATTATTGAGGTTTAATGTTAATTTTAATACTGTACATAAACATAAAACAGATAACCTTTACAGTATATTTTATTTGTTTTACAAATGGAACGGTTACCAACCCTAAAGCAAATAAATCAAATGTAAAAATTATTACAAGTAGAAAATGAATTTACCTTTGTTAAAGACACAAATCGGACTCAAACTCGTAATGTAACGCCAAAAAAGCATCCATTTATTGAGAAGAACGATAAATCATAGTATTATTGCTTTGCTTGTGAAAGATTTTAAAAGGATAAAGATATTAATTTAAGAATAATAATGAGTTCGTACTCACTGGCAAGATATATGGGATTGGATTTGATTAAACTTGATCTCCACTTGTTCAGAATTTTTTATAAATATGTGCTAAGGGATTAATTGATGTTCAAGGTTCACTTTTGCATAACAATCTATACAAATATATCGTAATTATCACACTTACTATAAATATATTTGTGGATTTAAATTGAAATCCTGAATGTTTTCATCCTAAATTTGTTAAGAGACTCTTAGTATTTCAACAAAAAAAAAAAAAATTTAAAATGTAATTGACTAGATCTTAGACTAGAATCGAACTAGCCAAAGCACACATGCTCTCCACCAGGATAAGATGTAAAAAAATAAAAATATATCTGTTTGCTTAATCTTTTAAACACATAGAAGAAAGAAAAGAAACAGAAAAAGAAGAGAAACACCTTACAATATGTAAGAATCTAACTAGAGCTATGACTTCAATCACCAATCGACAAACTAAGAGGATGCTATGGCTGACCAGCCGGGAGACAGGGGCACATGCTATGGGTTTATCACGTTTCCAATAAACCAAGGTCGTCTACAATCATATGTGGGTCTAGAAAGTTCAACCATCTTCATTATACTGGTGACCAGATGTAAAACCTAGAAATCACCAGAAAAAACGGGTGTTTTTACTAATAAAACTGCAAAACAAACTCGAGAGATACCTCGTTATAAAATTTGAAAACCCAAAAATGTGGATTTAATATATATAGAAAAATAATCAGTGGACAAAATTACGTAATTATTACAGATTATTCGTATTGATATTTTGAAATGACTCAGATTCTGAAATTACAGGTGTTGTTACATAATTTAGAATAGTTATATCTTCAAGTACTCGCCCGAATTTCAAATCAGAAACTATCAAGAAATCAAAATATAAAAATGTCTCACTTGGTATAGGAGTATAAAAATCAATATATAAATCTCTTCTAGAGACTTTATTCCAACCAATAATCGAAAGAAATTAAGTTATTAAACAAGAAAGTTAGCTTCATGATAATTTAGTAGGGACTGCTTCTATACTTATTTTATATCTTATATAATTCTTTATAATTTAATCAATAAAAAAAAATCAAATTTATTATTTAAATAAATATATTTTGTATTCTCAAAAATATATTCCTAGCACCTTATTTAAAAAAAAAAGCATCATATTATCTTGTTAATATATTTAATTTTATCCGTGATACAACAGACAATTATTACTGCAACAAAAGCAGACATCCGCGAAACAGCCCACGCGTCACGTCGTAAATTTAATATAAGAGAAAAGGATATAAAAGGGAGAGGGAGAAGAAAGGTGAGAGGATGGAAAGAGTAAAAAGGGTAAAAAGGAAAGGGTGAGAGAGAAAAGAATGCAAAGAAATTATAATGGTTTATATACATCATTTATTGACACTAAACTACGATCGAACGTTTCTAATAAATAATAGAAAAACACTATTTGCGCTTTAAATAAACTATAAAATACCATCGCATTATTAACTAAAAAATACATAGCCAATAAATTATTGCAATAAGTTAGGAAACCATATTGCAGTTCAAATTAAAAAACTCACAAGGAAAGTGATTTATTTAGGTTAGAATAAAATTTCGTATATACAAAATATACAAAGGCAAAGTAGAACAATGAATTTATGAATTCACATGACTCAGACAATTATTGTCCGGAGAAAAGCGTTGATCGCTAATTGAAAATAGCAAACATATCAATATGAATGTTTCAAATTACTCATACTTTATAACATATAGTTTGAAATTTACATTTTATATGGACTAGCATTTTGCATAATGTAATATAGCTGCTATTGAATATAATATTATTACTAATGCGTATCCCAATGAAAGGTTTTTTTTGTTCTGTACATATCTCATTCCTATGCTTCTTATTGAAGCCTAAAATTTCAAGTGAATCTTCGTGTGTCGAATTGATATATATATATAATTTTTCGTTTGCTATGCAAAAATAATAGAGATTGCATGTAAGCTGATTCAAAAAAAAGTAGGAGTATTCAATTAACAAACTTATCAAATGCAAATTGCACTCTGTTAGCATATGTGTATCCATAGAAATCTACAAATTCTTTCTCAGTTACTAATGCACTGTTTTTCTTATTCTTTATACTCATAGATTTCGCTTTCGCATTTGTCGAATAGTAGAACTCAATTTTTTTTTCTTAGTGTGCTTCACAGCTTTAGTGACCTTATATAAAAGATCAATTAAACAACAATTAAATGATGCAAATTCCCGATGTAAATGAAACAGTGTTACCTTACCATGCTCTTTATTGAAAACTGCTTGGTTAATGGCATATCGTTTTTTATTTGCAGAGCACACACATAATCCATCATTAGCTTCATTGGAATGCTGTTCACAATATTTAAGAAACTGGAAAGCATCATAACTCGCCCCGCTGGCATTGATGTAGATTATATTATCATCGGCAACCGGTTGATCAAGTTTGGTATAACTATCAAACGTTTTATAATCCATTTATCATCTGTGTCCATTTTGTCATCATCTATGTCCATTTCGCCATCATTCGTTTCCATCTCGTCATCATCTATGTCCATTTCGCCATCTTTCGTGTCGTCGGCATTATCTTTCGTGTCTTTCGTGTCAGAGACATTATCTTTGCCTATTGCTATTTTATTATATAAGATTAGCATTTGAGCTTATTATATGGCTATTACATCACAAGAATATCATAATTCCTGGATACCGATGTCGTAATCCACAAATTTTGAGGTATTTAGGAAGAAAACTTCGCCAGCTGGAAACCTACAGAAAAATTTCACATCGCCAAGAGTTCTTCAAATGATTGTCAGATATCCTAACAAACGGAAGAGACTGAGGCGTAACACCCAAAACAAATATACTTGTCCACAAATAAGGGATCCGAATATAAAATTTTTTTGTAATTGCATTAGATTGATGAATCCCATGGAACTGAGATCCTGATAACTCGTCAATTTATCGTCAAAATTGATTTTTTCCTCTTTGCTAACTGGCAGATCCAATATGGCTTTTGCCAGAACTTCTCGCGAATACAATCCTAAGCCATATTCATTCAACTCGTTGTATAATGCATTTAATTTCCACCTTATAAGGATCTTTATTATCCAGAACTATTGTTTCCATCTCACGTTGGAAGTGATCGTAAAAATACTCTAAAGTTCTTACGTGTCCTCCAACGTCACCAATAATGGGGATGAAAAAAATGCCTCGTAAGTCAAGCATCGTTCCTCCAATGAAGTTTACAAGATCCCTACAGATACGTCCATTAATATCGTGCAATTTGTTGAGCTCGTCAATTCCAAGGACTAAGATTAGCAGAGGATTAGAATTTATTTCTTGATTCTTTTGTTTAATAATATCAGTATGAACAATTCGAAGTGCAATATCCAGGGTTAAGTCATTAAGTGTTGAATATTTTTTACAAAGTGAACGAAAAGAGGCAAAAGAGAATTCGTCATAATCACGTTGCAGTCGAAAGTACTCATATAAAACGCGTAGTGCAAGAGATACATACCTCTGCATCAATATATTGATCAATTTTATTAGCAAGGGAACCATTTCCATAGGTGGTGTTGATGACGGCCATATTACTGAATGTGTTACGGATATCTTCATTGTCGCAGTTAATAGTATTACGCGTGAGCAATTCTTCGATTTCATCAAGAAATCTGCTCTTTCCTGTTCCACAAGCTACAACGGGGATTGGATGATTTTCTTTGTCCCTTTCATTATGGTGTTTAAATCGCTCCACAATTCCATTCCGTCCTAACTTCTTATCTCCATTCCATAAGATGTCAATAGCATCATCTCGCCCATAGAATTCAAAGTCCTTACCGAAATACGTAACGAACTAAAAAGACCATCGAATTTAGTCAGAAGAGCTGAAAAACACACTTGACAACATGAAAAAGCTGGAGGACTTACTCGGTTTCGGTCACGTCTCAATGTGAATTGTTGTATCCACTTGTAGATGGAATCTGGGTCGTTAAGTTAGGTCCTTAAAGCCAATAACAAGCAAGAGATTTGTTAGAAAATTTTTTGACATCGTTCCTGCAAAAATAACCGTCGCTACAAAAGAAACTGCCCAATAGATACTCAAAGTTATTGATTTTGAGATACCGTACCTTGTGGAACGCCTTGCTGGGGGAGCCCGCTTTAACGCGAAAAAAAGAGATCAGACAAAATCGATATTTTGTTACTGCAAATTTCTCGTTCGAGAGGTAAACCATTGTGAGGCACTTACCAGCAGCGGCGGGCACTTGTACGATGACGTAAATGTTTTATCTACAACTACAAGCGGTTGATCCAAAAAAGTTTCTTAACCAAGAGGTGGGTATCAATATCTTATCTCCAAGCATTTTTTTAATATTATCTTCGGTAGTAACATGTTTAAGCTTGTCTTCATCATCGTAAGCGATGTCAACCTTCCAAAGCTTCATAATATCAAGATCATCGATTCCTAACGTATAGGAATTTGAGGTGTGAAATCTTTAAATTATCAATTTTGACATTAATATTATTAATCTCGTTATTATCAACGTTAACCGCAAAATATCACCAAAAGAAGTCTTTCCTAGGAGTAAACAATTTAGTGACGCCAACATTTTGTAAAAATCCTGTAAAGCAATAAAAAGTAGTATTCTTTTTAGAGAGAAGTTCTGAGAAAGTTTGAGGATATATATATACTTGTAAAAACCTTCCTGATTACCGTATACATCAGAAATTAAGCACCCCACAATATACATATATACTAAAAATAAGCACCCCCAAATTAAAATGTTTTAAGCTCAATTAACTTTATTTAACTTTATTAAAAGATACAAAATTATTTTATTTATTCATTAATACCAACGTCCAAATCATCACAGCTTATCATCCTCCAAATTGTCACCACTAACATCTTCATCATTAATGCCATCCTCCAGATTATCATCGTTGATATCAATAATTTCATTATCAATATCATCATCATCATCTAAAGCATTTGAGATGCCACAGGTTTTGAAAGAATCGATGATGATTTCGTTAGAGATTCTATCCCAAGAATGTTTCACCCATCCACACATACACGTCACTTAACTTAGCATGTCGAAGATTACCTTTAGCTGTTTATCCAGCACCACTAGCAGCCATCCACAGCTCACAGGTGCCATTCTTCATGTAAATTGGCTTTAAACAGTTTATTTATCGCGACATCAAGTGGTTGACATAAACTTGTTAGACCACCTAGTATAACGGCTAAATCAAAATCCATAATCACAGAATTTCTCTTTTACTGGTATCCTCGAAAAGAATCATAAACCATTAACTTTGGGGCCCTAGTTCTGGTTCTGCCATCAATCTTGTCACTTAATAATTAATATATCGGTTCATCAATTCACTATCCATCCAACCTTTCTCTTAGAACCAAACGATTACTCTGGAAGATATTTTTTTCGCCTTTTGATAATCACTTCCCTTTAAAGATACAGATCGGAGGAAGCTTCCATCTATAATAAAAAGAAAGAGTTGTTAAAATATAATCAAAAATCAAAAATATCTTTGAAATATCATTGAAAGTCAAAACATTTTGAAAATCGACTAGTTTAATGAATTGTTGAAATAAGAAAAAAATAAAAAAATAAAAACTTCACAAAATTTATAAACAATCTGAAACCATAAAATCTAAACCTATAAATTCGGAACCATAAATCTAAAAATATCGTAACTATTAAGCTTAAAATACTTAATCCATAATACTTAGAAAAAAGAATCTCGAATTTTTGCAAAATTAAAATTAAAAAGATTGTCCTACCTGTGAGGCTGTGACACATTAAAACCACTGTCAATCGGGTTTTTTTATTGTCGGTGCTGCGAATCTGAACAGTTTTTTCACCCTTTTGACTAACAGTAAAATTACCCACCATATCAAACCACACTGGGATCTCATCCATATTGAAAATATTACATAAATCAAAGGATTATTCAGTCCTCAGACGGGTAATAAATTGATGAAATTTAACTAAAGATTCTTCCGTTTAACTTGGTAGCTTCTGAGAAATTTTTGTATGGCCGCTAGGATAGTTTATATCTTTTCATGAAAGAGAATATCCGCTGATATGACGCTTTAAAATTATTTGCCAAATCATCATATAAAAATGTCATTTCAGGCTCCTTTAAAATTTCTCGCATTTTAATTCGTAAGATCGTATAAGTAACAGCCAATTTTTACTTTCTTTGCTTAATAAGTTAAGTATATAGCTTACAGTTTTGGTTTATTTCAGTATTACAACTTTTACTTGCTATAAACCAACGCCTACCACACTGGCATTAGGTTGGAAGTGTCTTGCCACTTCATTTCGTCTGTGTTGCTTAGCGTAAGTGATAACGTAGTTCTTTTAATTAATAAAATATGAAGTACGACTTCGCTTGGTAGTTTTATTGTGTAAAACATTTATATGTTGTTTTCTTGCCATTTTTTGTGGAAGATTAAAACAAATTACGGAACGTGTTTGTTTAAGTCTCATGTTTATAAAATCATTTGATTGTACAAATTAGGTTGTACAAATTATCAGATTGTTATACAGATTACCGCAGTTTCAATTACTTTGGCGACAGAGAGAAAAATATATCTTTATTAAATCACCTAAAATTAAACATCAGCCACAAGAGTACCTTCTGAACAGGTTTTTTCAACAGGGAAAAACTTGATTACTGATAAAGGAAACCGGTTGGTCGGAAAAACTATAAGAATTTAATATTTTTATTATATTTTGATAATAAAATTTAAATATTAAATAACAATTTTAATAATGATAAATTCAATTTTGACCTGAGTTATATATTAATCTAAATTCGGAATTTGATTCAAATCATGAATCGTCAGAAAGATCTTTAACTCGTTAATTGACCGTCGATTATTAAATGATCAAATCGGAATTTTATGAAAAAAATGCGCTTTTTTTCATACCGTAAAAAAAAAAATGCCGATTCGGCGCCTTTTTTCATACAGTAATAAAAAAAATGCCGGCTTGGCGCTTTTTTCATAAAAAAAAAGATGCCGAAAAAAAAAGTTGCGAAACGTTTTTTGTTTATGAATTTGCCGATAAAAAAACGTTTTTCGCAACCTGTATTAATAAAAAACGTTGCGAACCCGTTTTTTATTTATAAAATACGAAATCGAAATACGAATCGGATCGAATCCAATCAAACTCGGATCCGGATCGGATCGGATCAGATTTAACTTAAGTTCGGTCGATTCGATCCGTTTGGAACAATAGAAAACCACTGTAAAAACTCTATATTTATAATTTTTACTTAAAATAAAATATAATAATACAATGAACTTTATTTAAAATTTATGAAATACATTTAATCTTATCAAACAGTTATGGCAAGTAATTTTAAAAGTTTTTTTCTCATTTCGATATTTTTAACATCATCAGTACTCCAAGTTCCATCATCCAGTAATTTTTTTACAGCTTTACGAGTTTTATCGACATCTGCATAATAATATCTGAAATTTCCATAAAAGAAAAAAGTGAGTAAATAAATGTCAATTGAAAAGAAAAATATATATATATATATGCTTACATAATATCAGGAAACCAATGATTCCAACGTCTTTGATGTGGTAATAAATAAAACAATTCAATATCTTTTAAAATCTGTAAAAATAAAATAAAAAATTTTATTAATAAAGATACAAACATTTTTTTTTAAAAAGTAATTTAAAATTTTATTTAATTTCCTAACCTCAGCTTTTTGTGCTAAATAAGAAGCTCGGTCATTATCTTTCTCAATAGCCATGTTTAAAAGTCCAATAAATAAATTCATTAGATATACAACAACTATAAATGAAAACATGATCATTAATATAATCATAATTCGATTTTCTTCAGGTTCCCATCTAGATAACGAATTTCTATCTCCTATTAAAATAAATAAAATAATAATACAAATAATTAATAAATATAATGTATACATATTATATAATATAAACAAATAATTATGTACCTGTTAAAAATAAATACATAGATAATATAGAATTAGGATAATTTGAAAATAAATTTGTATATTCATCAGGTTCTTGAACGTAAATTGCATTTGAATCCTCCCCATTTTTTGAAATTGAATGAAGTTTTGTTGTAAGAACCCAAGGATTATTATCATCATTTGGATCTCCTTGGTTGTTTTTAGAAAATTCAGAATTAGGTTTTAATAAAACAAAGAATGCATGTGCAAAACTAATAATAATAAGAAATAGGATAAAAAGAAACCAAAAAATTCTACGTCCGACGCCAATGATAATAGCAAAATAAATTCCAAATGATTCAAATACTCGAAAGAAAAGTAAAAATTTAATATCAAGTAAAAGACATGAAATTGAAAACAAAGGGCGCATAATATTTTCATCAATTGTGATATTATTATCATTATTATAAATCCAATAACATGAAGTTATTGTAGGTAATAAATAGGCACCTATATCTGTATTTAAGATAAAAATAAATAAAAATACTTTATAATATATATAATAATTAAAAAAAAATTCATACATACCAAACCAATTCCAGGGATTTACAATCCATTTAATTGGATTCCAAATAAATTGACGAATTTCAAAAAATAAGTGTAATGATCCAAAAATAATTGAAGAAATTAAAAGATTTCTTTTATTATCCTTAATTATTTCAGAAGAAACTGATGAAGCTAAAGTGAAAGATATAAGGAAAATCATAAATAAAAACCAAATAACTGCATAATAATATCTACCAAATACCCTCCATTTAAAATTAATAATAGCTTCACCATTCCAAGTTTTATAAAATTCATTATTTTCAGTTTTTGAAAAAGGACTAGACTTGGGCATAATAAAAAGTTCTTTAAACCAATTATAATCTTTTGAATATTTTATATAATTAGGAAAAGGAACTACAAATAAGAGTTTAAGATTATAAGATTTACGATAAAAAGTAATAAACTTATATAAATATACTAAAATAAAAATGGGAACAAAATTTTTAGTGTCCTTTCCTTTTAAAAAATTCCAAATTATAATTGCACATAATACTGGTGTTATGAAAATAAAAAACCACATTATATGATTCATTTTTCCTAATTTTCTTAATTCTATACAAAAAGAATGATGATGATCAAAGTTATTAACCTTTTGATTTGATGAATCAAGAAATAAAGTGGTTTCATTATAATACTTTAATAAATTCTCAACATAATTTGATTCTAAATATGGCACATTATTAAATATTATTGATAATATATAAATATTACGTTTTAGATCTTTTTTAAAATATTCTAGAGTTTTTTTAATGATTTTTTCCATTAATTCTATATTTTTTTGTTTAATAGCTGATTTTAATAAAATTTCTCCATAATGTACCAAAAAATCATATTCATTGTTTAATAAATAATCAATCCATTGCACTTTTAAGCTGCCATTTTCTGTATGCTTTGCAATTATCTCAATTTCTAAAATATCTAATTTGATATTATAATAATACTTAATTGCACATGTTAAAAATTCAATATTATAACAATGTTGTAATTGAATCTTTTTAAATTCCATATTAAAAATATAAATACGTAATTCTGGTAACTCTGATTCATATTCATTATATAATATACAAGTATTTTTATCTTTCTGATTAACTAAAATCCAATTGTTATATTCATTATTAGATAACTTTGTATTATATGAAATTTTTTCATTTACTTTAATAATAATTTCTTCAATAGCTTCTCCACTAGCTCCTAAAATTTTGTTTGATGGTTTCTCAATTAATATTAAATCATACTCTTCAACATTATTTTGCTTTTCAATGGTATTATTATCATTTTTATCTTGTTTTTCAATATCCTTATTTTGCTTTTCAGTGTCTTTTAAAGTAGGAATTACATATTTTTCCATAAATCGTTTTTTAATATCTATGATAACTTGTTTTCTTTTTTTGATAAGTTGCTTTTCATTTTTTCTTTTAGATATCCAGTTAGTATATTGATTTTCATCTCCGGTATATTGATTTTTAAATAATTTTCTGCCATCATCAGTAAGTAGCTGTTTTTCATCTTTGTCAAGTAGATTTTTTATACGATAAAATATATTATCATCTAAATTATTTTGATTAGTGTTGTCTTGTACAGAATCTTTAGAATTTTCTTTTTGATTTTTGTTGTCTTGTTCAGAATCTTTAATAGAAATTATCAAATTATTTTCAGAATCTTTAGAATTTGTTGAATTATTGTTAAACATCTTTTTCATATCAATAATCAATGGTTTATTTTGATATAACCCATACGCTTTGTTATCATTAAATTTTTTATGAATAAATTTATTGAAATTAATAGATTTTCTTAAATTTGATTTCCAAGAACGAATGTTGATTTTATCACTTTCTTTATGATTGTCATTATCATATTTATCATTTAACGTAGCTATATAATAATTATCATTGTCATCATGAATAATATCAAAATCTTGAGGTTCTAATTGTAATAAAAACTAATTAATAAATTTTTTTTTTTTTTTGAATTTTTTTCTTGTAAAACAAATTTATATTACCTTTAACGATAATTTTTCCAATTGGAACATTCATTTCATTAGAATAAATATAAAAAATATCACCAAATTTTATAACCATTAAAGATTCAGAAATTTTTAACGTTAATTCTTCAAATTCTTCCTTTAATTTCTCAATTTCCTTTTCCTGTTGATATTAAAAAAAATATATATATATTTCTTAGATATATATATATATATATATTTCTTAGATATATATATATATATATATTTCTTAGATATATATATATATATATATATATATTAATATTTAATACTTACATTTATTTCAAAAGGAATTTTTCGATATCTAAATTTAGGTAAATCCAATACTATATCTAATAAGTGTATATAGTTATTTATTAAAAAATATAACTTATCATTAACAACTCCACCAAAAATTATATTCATTTTATATATTTTATCATCGCAAAAATTCATTTCATATTTAACTTTACGTTCCCAATTGTTATTATTATTATTAGAATATTTTATAATAACAGGATTTTGATGATAATTTTGATAAATTATTATATCTCCGTTTGTAAGAAAATTGGTAACTTCATAATCGTCCGGAAAATTTACAAACTCGGGATCATCCTCATAAATATCTAATATGATTTTCTTCTTATTCTTCATATCAAAAATAAATTCTGTGGAGAAATTATTAATTATAAATATTATTATTATTATAAATTCGTCTACGATTTAAAATAAAATTTACCTTCTACAGAAACGCATTTTGTTATTATAATTTTATTATCGGATACTTTGAAATCTAATACATCCATATTTTTTAATTCTCTATACTCATCATCAAGAGTAAACGGACCCGAAGACTCGCTAGATGGATTACGTGACCATCCTTCAAAAGATTCATCTTCTTTACTATATGTCACAATATACTCCGATTTTAGAGAAATTGTCATCATAGTTATCGGTTTTTCGTTGTGAGAGTATATATGAACCTTATCATCTTGAATGTGCGGAGGTATTTGAACCTCAATATGATCTGTATAGGTACTCATTTAATCGATTTTTTATTTATTAGAAGGGGAATATGATTTTTTTTAAATTTGAATTCTAAAAAGTTTCGGAATTTATATTCCCGAGTTGACACGATATTTTTTTTCTTGGTTATTACAAATTAAACTTTACAAATGAAGTAAATTTAAATAAAAATGATTTCTTTTTTTTTTTTGGTTAGTATTAACGTCGAATCAAACGTTATTTATACATAAGTAAATTTCTTCCTATTATAGTTCATTAAAAAGGAAACTCAAACAAAGTAAATTTTTTATAACATTAATTGTTTGGAAACTCCGAGTCTTCCTTGAATAGTCCATAATAGGAAGTTTATTTTGCGTAAAATAACGCTTGATTCAACGATAATCTCGATCAAAAAAGCCACAAAAAAAAAATCATTTTTATTTAAATTACTTCATTTGTAAACAACTTTAAATAACCAAGAAAAATTAAATAAAAAAAAAAAAATTTTTATTTAAACGCACAACTATATCAATTTGTCAAACAAGTGTTGACGGAATCAATTTACGGTATATCTTTCATGTTGCATTACGTTTCCTATTTCGTTTGATGTGAATAATATAAAAATCTTACTTTTTTTACTGGTTTTTTTTAAAAAAAAGAATAAATAAATTCAAATTATTATAGTTTCTCCGGAATGAAGTTATTTTATTATTTGTCAATTTTATCAATCATTCTATTTGCGGTAAAAAACATGGTGGAAGCGACTACCCAAAACGGTTGTGGTATTAGCTATGCAGGCCTAGTATCTCGTGACTGTGAACCAACAAATTCAACAACAACAGTAACGATAATACCAGATTCATTGCCATATTTTATTACGTTTGAAGAAGTAAACCAAACTAATAATCTCTCATATATGCGATGAAATCTTATAATTTCATGACATTTATTCAAATAATTCGTGTTAATAATTCAGTAACTGATTTAAATGGTAAAATATATGTAGATAGATATTTATCAATTCGCACAATTTATCCAAATAGAACAATTAATGCATTTGATATTTCAATTGATAAATTGGAAATACAACCTTTTAATTTTTGTATAAATCAACTTCGTAACCCTATTCAATTTTACCCTGCAACAAGTAATTTTTTGTTAGTAACTTATATGACTTATACGAATGAAAGTACTTATGAAGATTGGGCAATGGTTGTCGATTTAAGTGGAAATATCCTCAGGTTAGAAAATTTTTAAATGAAAAAAAGTATATACTGTATATACGTAAATAAATAACTATTAATCCTTTTCTTTTTACTCTTTTTTTTTATTAGTAAAACTTTTTTAGGACGTGCTTATGTTGATCGCTGGCCACTTTTCCAAGCAAATATTATATTTAATGTTAATCATGACAAAGGATTTCTTCGTGTAGTACCTAAAACAAATACTACTTTGCTGCAACAATTCATAATGTAATTTATCATGTTGATAAAAATTTTTTTAATCTAATTGTGAAAAGCATTTAACGCATGATTTAATTTATAGATCTAATGATGGGACTGTTCAAAATATTACAGAAGAAGTAGAAATACCTTCTCCACCACCAAATCCGAATCTCATTCAATATATTGCAACGATGGATAATGGATACGCGATTATTTATGCCAATATTTCAGACACCACTGGTTTATCACAGGGAGGAATTTACGGCATATTTTTAAATTATGAGAGTATTAATATACGAGGTCCAATGATTCTTTATCAAATTCCAAGTCAAGGGTTAAGCTTTACTGCACTTTATTGTGATAATACTTTCGTAGTTGGACAAACTTGTACATTAGCCGTAAACCCTACAACTCCAAACACATTAAACAAATTTTATATTACTAAAATTGATTTTCTTACATCGGGTCTTATAAATAATATTCAAATGATTCCATTTCTAGACTTTAGCCAATGTAAATTTAAGTTATTACCATACGGAGGTTATTTTATAAGTAACATGACATCTACTACAGATCCGTTTAAAAATAATATCGATGGTTTTATTTTGAATGACAATGGATTTTATAGATGGAACCTTACAAATCCTAGTGTGACAAATTTTAAAGGTGATTTTATAATTTTACCAAATAATACACTTATGTTTCCTCAATCGGAGGGATTACAAAGTTGGAATTTGACCGCAATTGAATTATATAAAGTTCAGGAAGGTAAAGTGGCACAAACATATTTAAACAAAAATTTTCTTTTTTTTTTTTAACCTTTTTTTCAAATATTTTAGATCATGGGTATGATAACTTAAATATCGATACCACATTTCCGGAGATTAATGAGGCCATAGACGCATCTTTATAACTTATATATTTATTATTATAATTGTTCCTTACAGAATTTAATTGACGTAAGATATCTTCACCATCATCATTACGTTGGTAGATTAAAAGGTAGCCATCATTTGATAAATCAACTTTATTATAATATTTGATTATAAGTTATAAAGATGAGGGAAACGAAACTATCGTAAATGTTACAATAATTAGTAGTACATTCAATAAGCTTGGTGGAAGTTACTATGTCTTAATTGAAGATGGTTTTGTAAAGAGGCGAGCTTTTGACACACCTATCTTTGGTATACAGAGAAAATCTATTTGGACTTTTATAACAAATACAGCCCGTAAGTGTTTTATAAATTCTCTCGTTTTAAACGAATGTTATACTATGTAATAAAAATTTTTTAAATCATTTTTAGAAGAAAATTCTGATGGTAATAAAGATGTCGAAGGAAAAGTTCGACTGACTCCAGAAGGGACTGCTTATTTTTTGGTCCTTGATATTATTAAACGTGAAGAATTTTATAAGAATTTAACAGATCAGTTGGCTAATGCTATTCCCATTAGTCCAAAACGAATAACTACTAGTAGAAAATATGAAACTGACGCTACACTTCCTAAAGATTCTCTAAAACAAATTATTCTAACTATTGATATTAAAAGATATGAAGGTGAAAGATTAGCTGTTTCAGCCGCTCGAGATCTGATAGTTTGATTAGGAATAAATATATCACTATTCTTGCATGGGGTGACGCTTCAACTTTTTTAGATAGTGATTATGGATATCAGCTTATACGTAAGAATTCACTATTTCTTAGAGAAGAGAGAATTTGCTCTTAAATAATAATGTTTAAAAGCTAAATATATTTTATCTTTATTTTTAATTTAATGACTTTGAAATTGTAAATAGCTAAATGGATAGATGCGAATTGGGTTAAGCTTCTTGTAACAGCCGTATTTGAAATCTTATTGTATTTATTTTTTGCTGTGGTAAATAACATGGTTATAAATTAATTAAAAAAAAAAAAAAATTTCGAAATATTAACATAATTTTTTTTTTAGAAAAAATATTCTGTAATTTTTGAATGTGTATATGCTATTGCAGATTTTATAACGGGTATCATTTTTGCTATTGTAGATTCACAAAAGTATTATGAAATTTATATTATAAGGTAACCAATTTTTGAATTAACAAATTAAAATAATAAATTGTTTTCTTTATTTGTTCTCTTAAATTATGAAATAATAATAATAATAAAATTTTTTCTTTAAGCGTTTTCTTTGTAATATTACCATTTATTGTAAATTTAGGATTTGCATTTAAAACTACAATTGGTGTACTTGTAAGAGAATTAACACTAAAGAAAAGTGATGAAGATATAAAAGAAGAAGATATAAAAGGAAGTAACTCAGGGGAAAGTAATACAGGGGAAAGTACTCGAAGTAGCTCAATTATCGCAATGATTGAGGGAATTAAGGGAACTCCTGATACTAAGGATACTAAGGAGCTGAAAAAGACATATGATAGTTTGAGTCCAAGTCAGAAAAGCAAATATAATAAATTATCCAATGAATCAAAAATCTCGTTTTTGAAACTGATCCGCAAAGGAAAACGGTTAAATGATATTTTAGTGATATTCACGTTATTAGGAGGAATTAACATTGAAAATTTAAACTTACTTGAATTATATTTATTCAGTACTAATACTAAATTATCTCCTTCATCAAGAAGTAATATAATGTGAGGAACTATCACTAATACTTTGATTGAAAAAATTCCTCAAATAATTATTCTGGTATGCAAATTTTTTTTTTAAATTTACCTTTTTCATATTCTATTAAATTTAATATTAAATTTATTTTAATTAATTAATAATAGAGCTTTTATATGAGCAAAGCGATATCTTTTGGTTACACTCCTGTATTAAAGATTTCATTATCAATTTATTTTGTCATCAGTAATATTATTAAAATGTATCGATATTTCAGTGAGGGTTAGTTAGAGTCTATAAAATTAGTTAATTGCTGATCTGCATGTGATCGATCATAATAAAATATGGCGCAATTTTCTTATATAACAATGGTGATCGTTATTTGTATTACAATAAAACAATAATACAATTGCGTAATTAAAATTGCGCATCGAGAATCTTTAAAATGCAACCCATTTATTATATTACGCATGCCAAGCACATTCTTCTCGTGCTTCGATCCAGATCATACTTATTGCATGGCATTCTATAAAATTGTCAACTTTTTAGTGATATTTTTTTTGCCGCTATTACCTAACAGTTATTGATTGCTATATTATTTTACAACTCGTTATTTTTTGTATTCGTAAAAAATTTAAGTGTTCTTTTCACGAATACGTAGTATGTAGTCTTTTTAATGGGCATTCTAAATTGCTTTTCTCCCCTTAAAAAAAAAGGTAGCTTCTTCTGTTCATATAATAATTTACCCTCAAAATATTTAAAAATTTCTAAAATAAACAAAATTTATGAGGTAAAAATTTCACAATTAATTTAAATTACATTCAGAAAATGATGAAATTTATTATTGCCATTTTCAAAAATGTGTACAGTTTTAAATGATGCCCATTTTTAGAGAACACACAAACAAAAAATTATGTAAAATAGAAGCAAGCACATTGTTCACTATATTTTTGATACTTTATTTCAGAATGTAAAAAAGTTTAAAATGCCATAATTTATTAAGCAAACATACCGAACACATATTAAACACAAACACATATTGAACACAACTAAAATTGTGTTTAACCAGAATAACTTTACATCCAATGATCGTAGAAAGCATATATAGTTTATTGGATCAAGACGCGTCAAATGGTGGTGATTTTATGTGTCTAGGATCAATATATGGTAGGTTATTATTAAAAGCATGAGGATTCAGCCAATCATTAAGTTTTTTTAAAAAAAATTTTAAATGAAACATTTATTAACAGTTCATTTTTAATTTTGTAGATGGAAATTTTGACTTTTTTTATTGAAATTATCATTTAACAAAAAATGCAATTTTAATTCAATAACATATCCGCCACCAATCGGCAAACTCAGAGGGATGCTGTGGCTGACCAGCCGGGAAACAGATGCATATGCTATAAGTTTATCACGTTTCCAATAAACCAAGGTCGTCTACAATTATATGTGGTCTAGAAAGTTCAACCATCTTTATTATACTGGTGACCAGATGTAAAACCTAGACATCCCCCAGAGATAACAGGCGTTTTTTACTAATAAAACTGCAAACAAACTCTTTTTGTACGAGAGAGATACCTCGTTACGCGTGACGACCAGATGTACATCGTCAGGAATATGAGCGTTTTTACTAATAAAACTGCAAAACAACCTCTTTTTGTACGAGAGATATACCTCGTTATAAAGTTGAAAGTTATATCTTCAAGTACTCAATTACTCCGCCCGAATTCATCAAAATATAAAAATGTCTCGCTTGGTCTCTAAATAATTATAGGAGTATAAAAATCAATATACAGTATAAATCTCTTCTAGAGACTTTATTCCAACCAATAATCGAAAAAGAAAGTTAGATTCATGATAATTTAGCAGGAACCGCTTCTATACTTATTTTATATTTTATATAATTCTTTATAATTTAATCAATAAAAAAATTTATTATGTATTTAAATAAATATGTTTTGTATTCTATTAAAAGTGGACTCTTTAATGAAACTTTTCGCAAAAATACATTCCTAGCACCTTATTTAAAAAAAAGCGTCATATTATATTTATTTTTGCTTTTCTACCTTGTTAATATATTAACAGCCTTAATTTTATCCGTGATACAACAGACAATTATTACTGCAACAAAAGCTGATATCCACGAGCCAGCCAACGCGTCGCGTCGTAAATTTAAATATACAGTAAGAGAAAAAGGGAAGGGAGAAGGAGAGAGGGAGAAGAAAGGTAGAAAGGGTAAAAAGGAAAGGGTGAGATAGAAAAGAATGTAAAGAAGTTATAATGGTTTATATACATCATTTATTGACACTTAACATGACAGCATGACATCAAAGTATAATCGAACATTTCTAATAAAATAATAGACAAACACTATTTGCGCTTTAAATAAACTATAAAGTACCATCGCATCATTAACTAAAAAAGACAGCCGATAAATTGTTAAATTAAGGAAGGCAGTAAAAAAAATTGATGACTTTCTTATACCTAAATATGATATGATACCAAAATAACCAAATGCATTTATTTATTTAGGATACAAGAAAGTAAAATTAGGTTAGCACAAAGTTTTGTTACACCTATTTGTGTAATGTTAGTATTTTCCATGGAGAAAGGCAAAGTAGCACAATGAATGATTTTTTATGAATTCACATGACTCAGACAATTATTGTCCGGAGAAAAGCTAATTGAAAATAGTAAAACATATCAATATAAATGTTTCAAATTATACATACTTTACAACACAAAATATTTAGCATTACGGCTTTCCCGACAGGACATTTTCCCGACAGCCTAACGCTGGCCGCTTTGTACAACATCGAGATTTAGCGTTAGCGAAGGACATTTTACTGTACTGCATTAGACGGTTTTGTGCAATTTTTCTTCCTTCCTTCCATTGACGTCACCTCACATATTAGCCCTTTTTTGATTATATACCTGTAACACTGCTGATTTTATTTGGTGATCAATTTTTTTTTAATAAAAAGATACTGAGAAAATAAACGCGACGGACTTTAACGGTTTCCGTTTTGCTAGTTTCAAATTCTTGATTTGAAATTCATTTTTTAGAAGCTTGAAATTATAGCTTCGTAAGAAATTCGTTACTAAATCATCTCTTTTGTCATGTATTTATTTTCATTCCTTGTGAAGTTTTATTAAATAATTCCTAATATGCAAGAAGTTTAGCGATAAAATAAATAATGGTGTAGTTAGCCGAAAAATAATTAGCCGCAACGTGATCCGGACCCGGCTCAAGGCGTAGATCGTCGTGGAATTCTAGGGGATTTTCTGCGATTAAATCGGGTCCGGATGATCGGCAATCAGGAATTCGGCTCCGTTTTTCGGCCAACTGCAATATTATATAAAAAAACGTTTAATATAAATAGGCAAATATAAATAGGCAAATAAAATTTACACGATAAACAATTGATTTAAAACCGGTTGATATTGACATTTCCTTAATATGAATATGATAAAATAAAAAGAAACCTATATTCTATATGCGAGCAAAATATCCGTCCGCTAAATTTAATTTATCACCGATGAACTAAATTTATAATGGGACAATAAAATATTATAGATGTTGAGAATAAACAATGTTAATAAAATATTATTTTATCTATTATAATTTTTACTACCACTATTATCATCTTCATATTTTTCCAATGATGCCTCTACTTTTATTCTTATTTTTTCTTTTAATTCTTGCTTAACGTCTCGTAGAACATCTTTTTTCATTTCTTCAATAATCTTTTCATCGATAATAAATGATAATTTTCCTTTTTTAATATTCTGAATAATTTCATTATCTGTTGAGTTATTTCCTAACTCACATGTTGTTCCTTGTTGATTATTATAATTTGGTAAATTTGGTGTAAATTCTTGTTCTTGATTCGAAATTACTAAATCTATGGGAGTATTCCTATTTACATTATTATTTGGTTCAGGGATTGCAATTGCTTCATTCTTTCTGCCGTACTTTCTCACTAAAAAGAAACATAAACAAGCTAAGGAGATTAAAATCAAGCCACTAACTATTCCTCCAACTATCGCTCCAAGAATTAAATTAACTAGTGGTGTAGTAGTAGCAGTATCGCTTGAAGCACTTATTATTAATTGAGTTGATGGAATAGCCCCTACTGGTGTAGCACTTCTCGATGGTAGATTAGCAAATCCAGTAATACTTGGAGTACCACCACTTGGAGTACCTCCCGCTGGAGTAGCCCCTCCCGCTGGTGGAATAGCATTTCCCGCTGGTGGAGTAGGACCCCCGCTGGTGGTCCTGATGGTCCTCCTGGTGGTGGTTGAGTATTTACTTCATGCACAATTTGAAGTAAAATTATAAAAATAATAAAGTTAAAATAAATTTTTTCATATTGAGTGTAGTAAGTGATTTTAAAGATGTTACAAATAATAATATACTGTATAATATATAAACGAAAAAAAGAGAGTATGAAATATTTATAAATTTTATAAGTACTAGAAATATTAATATTATTACAAATTAACAAATTAACTGACCTTACTGAACAAATGTAAAATAGAAGATCGGCATGATCATTGGGATTACCCGATAATTTAATCCTGATTGACACTATAGTAATCACGCGCCTATTCATTCAGTATCATAAGGAAATTAATTTAAATGGCGCAGTAAAATATACTAAATTTACTATTGATACTATACTAAATCCACAGTGACGATAAGCTGCATTAATAGTGCCGATTCGTAAAATATTTGCTTACGCAGCGAAATTAATTTTTGTAAACTTACAAGATTCCTACAGCGTCTAAAGTTATAAACATTATACTTCATATGTATTCTATATACAATGTATTGTCCTAGCGTCTTAAAATTTTGTATAAATAACGTACCGTAATTATATTATTAATGTTATTCATTTCCTTTCTTTTCTCTTTCAAAAATTTATCAATGAAAAATTTCTTTATTCGTCATTCATTCAGTATTATTATACTATGCCTTTTCATGGATAAAGTCATCGCATATACATTGCACAAAAATTGTATATAAATTTAAATAATCAAATATCGAAATATAAAATTAAAAATAAGTCATTTTTTTACATAAATTCCTTTAATTATGAATAAATTTTTTATTTTTATTTTTATTATTTTTACAATTTTATTTCAGTTTATACATGAAGTAAATACTCAAATAAGAAATGACCCAAGTATAGTAATTCCGGAAATTATACCACCAGCTCCAACTCCAACAATTCCAACTATAACTCCAGCAATTCCAGCACCAGTAATTCCATCTCCAGTTCTACCAGGTGGATTTGATATATCAAGTTTTACAGTTCCAACAATAGGAATTGTTACAGTTACAGCTCGACCAAATCCAGATTCAAGTAATTCAAATAATCCAGATACAATATATTCAGCATATTCAACAAGATTTATAGTTTTATTAACTGTTTCAATTATGGGAGGGATATTGGTGGTAATTTTCTTAGTATGTTTATGTTACTATTTAGTGAAAAAGTTGAAATAATAGACTAAATAATAACGATATTTCAAATTCTGGAGTAACGAATAATGAAATATATGAAGGTAAATTGTTACCTACTACTCCTACATACATAGTAATTTCGCAAGAATTTCCACAAAATTTACCAAATCATAATAATCAACGGGGTTTAACATGTGATAACTCAACAAATAATGAAGTTATATACAAATGAATCAAGAGATCAAAAGTAATGACATTATTTGTTATAGAGAATAGAGATAAAGAAAGTAGTAGTAATATTAGTAGTAAAAATGATATTTTTGTTAACCGTTAGAATTATATTAATTTTTTATTTTTATAATATATATATATAATATATAATATTGTATCTTAAAGATGTATTAATTTAATCGTTAATCTAATTTCTTGAAAAACTTTCATTCTTATATTTATGATTCTGTATTTCCGAAGGAAATACCCACCGGGTATTAATAGGATCAAATCAAGTGTGGTAGAAATCACGTGCCCGTGTCCGTCATTAGTATTGGAATGAATTTTATTTGAGTGGCGGAATGGTTATTGGAGATGTTCCTCTCTTAAAACATCCGCTACTTCAAATTTATTCTATTAGTTAGCTGGGACAAACTAAAATTTTATCTCGCTAATGAAATATTTACATACAATTTTTAATCGTTCTATCAAATTCTTGTTGAATCAATGTTATAATTACAGGTGTAACAACTAACAAGAATTACATAGTTCCAATAATATTAATTTAATATTTAATGGATATTATAATCATATATCCAAAATCAAGGAATGGATTATGGATTTTGAAAATCCTTGATTTTTAAAGTTATATGATACCATGTAAAAACGCTTCTGAATTTATATTTTTTAAAATTTCTAAATAATATCAATTTGATATATTTAATACTTTAAAGACCAGGGTCTCATTCAAAATTATTCACCAAAGTATGATACCCACGCCAACAATCCTAGTTAGAAATTTTAGTTGCAATTTTTCTTATCATGGTCGATATTTTGTTCGCTAAGGTTAATAAAGAAATTGATATCACGAAGAATCTCTTTTACCTATATAACTAATGGATAGTGTCAAGAATAAGAATCGGTTATATACAGTAACTTTATTTATTATCTTTTTATTGATTTGTAATCTTTTCATTCAAATTTTAAGATATGTAATATTTTTATCATACCTGATATAATAAATAAGCTAACTACTTCTATTATTGCATTTTCCATAATCGTAACAGATCAGATGACAGATGACGGATCAGATTGGATAATTATTATTAGGGAATATCCCCCCTAAAAATGAGTTAAATTCCGTTTTCCCTAAAAAGTATTAGGTTTAATCTCTCTTTCAACAATGTCTGCTACTCCTACTCTTCGTGATCTCAAGATTAAGACTGGAACCGTTAAACGGTATGTCTTAGATTCTTTAGATGTTTTTTTTTTTTAGAAAATTTACGATTTGTTTTACTTATTAACAAAAAAAACAAATTTTTATTTTTTATTGAATTTGAGAAAGTCTTTTTAAAGATGAAAACTCTTATCATAAAGAGAGTGAAAGTCAACAAAAACATATCGATAAACTAATATCAGAAGGTGCTGATGAACATGATATATCTAAACAGGTTCAAATATCATAATTTTATTATGTATACTATTTGTTTTTATTATATAAATTAATTGTTTCATTTATTTTTGTAAATAGAAAGAAGTGTTGCAAGAATCGTTAAATATGATTCCAGATTGTCAGAATCGTCTTAAAGAAGCTCAGAAAGAATTGCAGAAATTACTTGTAAGGTTCTTCTTTATAAATTAATTTGATTCTAAATACTAAATTTCATTTTTTTTTTTCCTGTTATAGGAAAATAAGGATGCATCTTGGGAGGGAACAGAAGAATTAAAACAAGCGGAAGATATCCTTGAACAAATTAACAAAGGAAATACAAATTGATTTGCTTCGTTATTTAAGTAAAATATTATGTATATTATAATGTTTTAAATTTGATAAAATAAAAGTTTGCCGAAAACGTTTTGTGCAAATGTATTACAAAAACGTTATCTAAATAGAATGTTAATGGTCTAAGTTGCGGAATATTCTAAAATCTGTAAAAATTAAATGAGAAAAAAATTAATCTTTCAAAATTTTAGGGATTTTTATATCATTATTATTCCTTTGGGCTCTACCTGCTTTTGTTCCATAAAAGCTAACCAATCAGATGTTGCGGTAGGTAAAAGTCCCATGGAAGAACATTTATATAATCCTAAAGCCATCGTAAGAAGCTGTAGGATCACATAAACAAGTTTTGGCCAAATTAATTGTGATTTAGTCTTTGATGATTCATATCGTTCAAACACTGTTAAATAGAAATGTTACGTTTAGAAATAATAAAAGAAAGTGAACCCATTAATTTAAACATTTACCACTATCAATTCCCATTAATGCTTTAATCGGTTGGAAGAATAACATTCCTGTAATCATAACACTAAATATTTGTACTCCATTTCCACTCATCCATAACATAAAAGCGTTCATAGGTATATTTTTTCCCGGAGATAAAGCTGCATCCCACGCTTTCTTAAAAAAAAAAAAGAACGAATTAAATAAACTAATTTAATCTATAATAAATTGATAAATATAAATAATTACCTTGATTTTTAGTGTTTCCTGATCTTTTTCAGTTGAAACTTGTTGAGCATCTTTTCTGTTTTTCTTAAAAAAAATAATATCAATTAATATAAAGTAATTAATATAAAGATTAAATATTTCAAAGAAATCAAATATGATTTACCAAGTTGCCCTTAGAACTTGATGTGATAGCCGGAACGGACGCACCAAACCCCGGTGGAGGCGGTGCATCTACAACGTAAGTTTGCCCTCGAATTTCGTATCTTCTACAATAATTAAAATAATTCCAAAACTATTTAAGTTATAAAAATGAAAACATAAAGAAGTAAATTATTTGTCAACAAGTGTACAACCTTGCTTGATCTGAAAGATTTGTGAAATCAATTCTCCATTTGTTTGATTTGTTTGACATTTTTCAACTATTTAAATTGAAAAATAAAAAAAAACTCATATCATATGAAAGTCGCAGTAAAATATAAACAGGTTGGGCACGTGCGATTTTTATATTTTTATCAATGAAAATGAGAATCCTATTTAAAGGAATTATAAAAAGATAACCCATGATACTCACCCCATGTGGGGGATATGTAAATGAATATAATGATATCACTCCGAAAATTCTTCTCGGCTGAAATTGCCATATTTGTTAATTTGCAACTTTAATGTATTCATTTTGGAACATTCGGAACATTTGGAATATTCTCGAAACTTGATTGATTTCGTCATATCCGGATTTGTTGAATGAGCTATTTCTTGTTTCAAAGAAGTGAGAAAACAAATAACATTATTACTTCAATTAACTTAATTCTGGTTCCGACTTTCTGATAACCCGTAATCCTGAACAAAATGAACCATACTAATAATCAAAATCAAAGTCATCAAAATAATACTATACCTTTGACTGTGATAGATTTAACAAAGGAAAATGCCTCCAAAGCCACTAATGCTTGTTATTCAATATCACCTTCAAAAAAGCAACGACGTCCTGAAATCATAAATGAGTCTACTGATATTAGACCGCAAAAACGTAGCAGAATAGAACAAGTTCAAGAGCATAAAACATTTTTTCAAGGTGTAATGCATCTGTCTAATAATCGAGAAATTTTACCTACACCACGTACCCCTACGCAAACTTCGATTGAAACGCAATCTTCTTGTATATTACAAAATAACCCAATATTACCTCCTCCCTTAAATTATTCACAATATGTACCACATTCACAAAATTTTAATATGACAAGTCCTTTAAACGGGTTAAACGGCTTGGACCAACCTTATAATATAGGCATGATAAATCCTACCGTGATTCAAATACCCCCTGTTGCCTCTAAACCTTCTCCTAGTAGTTTTAGTAGTACTAGTTCTAGATCTCCTAATCAAAATTCGCAAGAAGTTATTGATCTGACGAATGATAGTAGTGATGATAATGATTGTGTTATCGACGAGAAAGAAACGAATAGAGATGTATGCTGGGGTATGATTGATACGGAGGTTATAATTTTGTATCCAAGACCTTGTTCAAATGGAAAAGGTGAAGAAGAAGTACAATTAAGGAGAGAGTCGGGAAAAAATGAAGGTAAGATCTTATTAAATCACTAAATGGTCGTGATTGAATATTAAAATTATTATATTCTTATTATTATTAGAAATTCGTGTTATCAAAGACTATGATTATGTAGTAAGTATTCTTTATCGATTGATTTGTTTAATAATTCAATCTAACTATATTTGGATTTCTCCAAGTTCGGAGTGGTCGAAGTAAATATAGCTAGAATATTGATTCCATTAATGGATAATAACCTTGTCTGGACGGAAGCGACAATCCCAAAAAATTGGGCTTCTACGGTATATTTAACTTCAAATATTCATTTTTATTTATTTATTGTAAAATATTTACATTATAATATTCAAATATTCATGTAGGCGATAAGCATTCCTCTTCATATTATGTTATATGGGCGTCCTAGCAATACTAAAGCCGTAAGCACGCATCTTTATGAAAGAAGGCTGTTCTTGAAAGATCCGATAGTTTATAATGTGGAGACCCGTTATTCAAATCCACATACTATGTCTGGTAATGTTTATTCAAATAAAATTAATCAGATAGTATACAAAGGATACTCAGGCGGCAGTTTTGGAACAACAAAGTCTTCGGAAGATATTAAGAACAAAATGAATAAGGTTTTTAATTCTTTGATGACTGCTGATAATATGCCCGAGTTAGACCCAGGTAAGATAATAACTATTTATATTAAGGTCATTTTATTCCACATTATTTGAATGCAATTTAAATTATACGTGTAGATCAAAGATTGATTACGACGTTATACAAACATCAAAAGCAAGCATTGTATTTTTTGGTGAAAAGAGAACAATACAATGATTTCACAAATGATCAGACTAACGAATTGATGTCATTATGGAGAACTCGAATTAGCGCAGGACGTCATTTAGTTTATTATAATATCGTAACTAATTTGGAGGTCCATGAAAAACCGGTTCAGATGAGAGGAGGAATAATAGCTGATGATGTAATTTGTTGGACCTTTTTTTTTAAAAAAAAAAAAATTTTATTTTATTTTTCTACATACTAACATGTTATCTTTTTTACTATAGATGGGGCTTGGTAAAACTATACAAATGATAGCGCTGATACTTGGTACGCAGAAAGAAGCTGTAGACTTCGCAAAAAAGCCTTCAGCAGTATCAAATAGTGGCGAGTCATCTTTTTCATCATCTATTCAATCAGGAGACGAAAATTCGATCGGGAATTTTAAATCTAAGGGAACTCTTATTATATGCCCCTTGTCCACCGTCGCGAATTGGGAAGAACAACTTGTTAATCATGTTCAGGAAGGAGCTCTTAACGTATATGTATATCATGGAGGTTCTCGTACTTCAGATCCTTCCCATTTGATAAATTATGATATTGTTATCACAACTTATAACGTAACGGGTACCGAATTTAGCAAGCAATCAAAAGGCCAAAAAAACCAGCAGTCAAAAATCATTGCGAATGATAGTGAGCCGACCAATTCTCCAACACCTTCAGCTTTGCAGCAGATCCATTGGTTCCGCATCATTTTAGATGAGGCCCATATAATTAAAGACGTTACCACAGTACAGAGTCAAGCAGCATGTTCTCTTAAAGCGGAAAGACGTTGGTGTTTAACTGGAACACCAATTCAAAATAAGTGAGTGAACCTTTTTCTTTTATTCATGGTTTCTTATTTAAAAAACTGTATATTTATATATACATATTTGTTATATTTTTATAGGGTAGAAGATTTATTTGCTCTTATTAAATTTCTTCACATGGATCCTTTTAGTGATAAGGAAAAATGGAAACAATACATTTTACGTCCAATAAAATCGATCGATCCTGATGGTATTAATAGATTACAAACTTTGATGAAATGCATAACTCTTCGTAGAACAAAAACACTTAACGGGAAGTCACTATTAGCTTTACCACCACGTAACGATCATATTCGCTACCTTGAACTTAGTGATCACGAGCGTAGATTGTATGAAAAGATGTATAATTATCAATCTGAACGGGTTAGAAAGTACACTGAAGAAAACAACATAATGCGACATTATGTTAACATTCTACAGGCCTTATTACGATTGCGTCAGATTTGTGCTCATTATTCATTAGTCAAGGAGTCGGAAATTACTGAAGATTTAGATGAAGAAATCGTAAATGAAGGATTGACCTCGGCTAGAGCGATGATGTTACTTAGCATAGTTAGAGATAGCGGAATGGATCAATGCGGTTCTTGTTTGCAGGAATTAGTTCAAACTGTTGTGGTTACTCGATGTGAACATTTGTTTTGTATAGAATGTGCTAATAAGAATATGAACAATTTGCCAAGTTTAATTAGTGTTGCTATGTCATCTGAGAATCAAGAGGTTTCAACAGACTGCCCAATATGTGTGCGAAAATTATTTTCTGGTGACGTTTGTGAAATTAATGACTCTAAAGTTCTTGAGAATGACCATATTAAGAGATCTGAAAGAGAGAAGACTGCTCATAGCACCAAAGTCAAGGCACTAATTGAAGATTTGGTTCAAGCAAAGGAAGAAGGCGTGAAGAGCGTAGTGTTCTCACAATGGACCAAGATGTTGGACTTGATCGAGGTAATGTTATCGTTTTCAAAGTTTTTTTTATTAAGAAAATTAATCAAATTTTTATCATATTTAGGACGCTTTAAAAGAAAATGATATTATTTTTACTCGATTGGATGGCACGATGTCTCGTGCAGAACGAACACAAAATATGGATACTTTTAAACAAAAGGATAAAGTGAGCGTTATACTTGTTTCTTTAAAAGCTGGTGGTGTTGGGTAAGTTATGATATAAATTATGTGTATTCTTTATGATCAAGTTCTCTTTGACTTTCTTATGTGAGAAAGTGATTAATTCAATAATTTCTAAATCCATAGGTTGAACCTAACAGCTGCTCAACGAGCATATCTTATGGATCCATTCTGGTAAGTATTATTACGAAAGATATAGAATATAAATATAATTTTATTTTATAAATTGACCAACTCTTTCTTTCTTTTATAAAAGGAATCCGTCAGTTGAAAACCAAGCCATTGATAGAATTCATCGTCTTGGTCAAACTTGTGCTGTGGATACTGTCAGATTTATTATCAAAGTAAGTCGAGAAATCTTTAATTATATAAATCATATAGAATAAGTTAATTAATTTCATTATGTTTATTTATAGGATTCAATTGAAGAAGGTATCCTCCAATTACAGGAGCGCAAGTTACGACTTGCCGAATTAACCCTCTCTGAAAAGCTAAGTAAACAAGACATTACCCGACATAGATTAGAAGATCTTAAAGTTCTTTTTAAATAATTTTTAAATTTAAATTATTGATAATTTAGTCCTAATAATTAATTAATTAATAATAAATAATCTTTGAAACATTGATTACTTATTACTTTTTTTTTTTTCCCACAACTCTTAACTTTATTATGTCTGGTTACAATAAATTTTAAGAGTTGCATGATAGACACACGTTTTAATATCTTTTATACCTTTTTAATGGATTTGAACCACTTATTTATTAATTTCTCGTTTAATTTGTTAAATTTATTATTTAAACAACTTTTATATTAAACACTGAAATTACTTTTAGAATTCTTTGAAATCATAGATTATAATACTGTATGTTCTATTGATTAATTATTTTGCTTCAAATATAAAGGTTGAAAGCAAATTAATTTGATCGAAAGTATAAATATTAAATAGCTTGGTTGGCCTCAAATTTTATTAAGTTTATTTTATTGCATCTTCATATTATTATACGCGTAAACGCTAAACCTGAATTAAAAGAATAAAAAATATAAAGAATTATAAGAAAAAAAAGAAAAAATAATGAAATAAAATAAAAAAAAATAATAAATTTTTAAAAAGAAATAAAAAATAAAAGAAAAAAAAAATAATAATAATAAAAGAATAAAAAACCGACTATAATATACGTATGAAAGCGGTAATACGATAATGAGGAAAGTGTAGTTTAATTAATCTATTACAACGTTCTCATACTTTTGTACCATATAATAACTTCAGAATTCATACTATAATTTATTATAAGTTAATTATAAATTACTTATCCTCGTAAAAATACAATTGATGTCACTAAATACATTTAGATGTCAAGAAAGATGTCAACTGCTTTAGCCTTACTTGACCAAAACCTCCCCATAAAGAATTAAAACTAAATTGTTAATTACCCTTCGTAATTCCTATAACCATACAATCCATTCGCCTTAAGAAAAATCTTCAAACAGTTGATGTTTTTTTTTTCTTCGTTTTAGACAGATTTTGGTAATAAATCGAACAAATAATTCTTGATTATATACATTATTACATATCGTGGCATTTCAGTCTATTTCTTAAAGATAAAAAGTTAATTAGAATTGATTTAATGACATAAAGAAAAGCTTTCAATAAAATTACTAAGTTTGATACTTACAATTTTCTAATGCTTAAGGAAAATATTCTAGATTTTTTTTTTTTAATTTGCTATTTTATCAGTTCCATATTCCAAAGTATAAATCCTTAATATTATGCATCCCTGTGATCAACAAGGCAGATGCGGGTGATGGTTGCTGACATTGCACAGCACTCCTATTTTTATCTATTTTAGCGGGTTTGGGAGTGTGTAAAATTATAATCTATATTTTAATTGAAAGTTTGGTACCTCCTTTTTTAAATTCCTTAATAATATCAAATAATAAAAGAATGAAACCAAACCTCATTTGACCTCCACGAATAATTCATACATTAATTATCCGTTTTCCTTCGTCATCTGTTTCACTTAATTCGGGGAATGATATGGCAATAGCACCCAAAGGAAGTCGTAGTCCACCATCACTGGCCAAGGCATAGTCAGGCAGGGTTGTCAATACGACACGTTATTGTCATGGCCATTGTGTTCTGCTTTTTGGTTATACAGCATCTGTTGAACGATTATTTTGAAATAGCTGTAAAATGTGTGATAGCTTCCAGACTTTTTAAGATTTCTTTCGTATAATGATTTCATCATATAACTCCTCACACTTTTGTCGTACTTCGGAACCTTCTATGGTGTCCCAAACTTTTGACATTTAGATATTCAATTCATTCTGTAGATCATAATTGGTTAGCTTGTATGGCATAAATTCGATAAACGTAATTTTAAGATTGCATCTTAATAAAGGGCACGCCAAGAAATATAATATAAAATATATCTGATATGTGTATAATAATAAACAATTAATAAGGCTAGCTGCCGCTTGATTCTTTTTCATCCTGACGAGAGTAGTACGGGTAATTTGAACTTCCAAACTCAAGCTATCACAATCGTCTTCGACCCATTTTTTTGGTATCCATTGTATCCAGCAAGAGTCCACGGGGAGCCATAAGTGGAGCATTAACGGTCAATAGGTGTCCAACATCCGAAGCATATTCTAGTTCTTCATTTACATAATCCTCATGATCTTTGTAGTAAAAAAATTTTGCATCAAATTATATATATATTAACATTATATTTTCCTTAATTTCGGTTTTAGATTGTGGGATAATCCAGTATCATTTTTCATCAGTTGGTCTATAATGACAAATAACGGGCTATTTACCCAAAGTCAATGAGAATGATTCCTTAATCAGCCAATTTATGGCAATAAAATCACGGACATCCCTTATAGCATAGCAACACACCTGGACATCAACTCTATGCTTATCAGGTTGTTTCTTGATAAATCAAAACTCTTGATATTTAAATGAAGGTTAAATTTATTATTTCCGGCGAGATCAGTTGTTTCAAGCACTACATTAGGAAGCATCTTCAAATTGTGCACCGTCCATATTATGAGCATTGAGATAAGCTTGAGGTGATGGTCAAAATTTGTACAAGTCTATTAGCGTCTCCTTGTCAGCTAGACAAATTAGATTGTACTGCTCTAAATATCCATCAATTCGATACACAATTCCAAAATCCAAAAACTGCCACTCAAATCATGCTGGATCTGTCTCTTATACACATCTAGATGTGTATAAGAGACAGATACAGAATTCCAAAATCCAAAAACTGCCACTCAAATCATGCTGGATAGATGCTTGTAATCTTGCATACATTCAATTTTGCCATTTATGCCATTTATATTATTTATACTTTAAATTTGAATTTTAACATTTTGAATATAATTTTTTAAAATGGATTATATTAATCAAATGAAAGTGGTTTGTGAAAAAATTGGTAAAAAGATTTCCATGGTTCCATAAATAAATAGCATAAATGATGCGTTGGATTGGAAGGAAAGTAAGCATCATCTAACGATGCTCCCTGAAGATCATCAGGATCAATAACAGTATGCTGGTATTTGTGATTCTAATTCTGATTCATGATCTGATCTTGACTATTTTCCAGTTTTACTTTCATTTCTCCAATAAAATTTACGTGATAAACTCGGAAAGCCCGCTATTCGCAGAAACTCTAAAAATAATTTTAAAATATTCTTTTGATATTCTGATTTTTTTACTTTACTAACATTGAAATCTCGAACAAGATTTCTCCATCACACTGCCGAGTGGTGTATCTTAAACGTAATCTCTTCTAATTTGTCATGAAACACTTTCCCAGAACTCCGCCTCTTCAAAATTTGCTTCTGATTCTTCGAAGCCAACTTATGGTAAAGCATATTGTCCGTGGAGCAATTGCAATTATCTGATGCAATATGTGTCTTAGTTTAATCTTGATAAGTTTAATTCTTTAAACTATCCTTGTTTCTCAACTCCATGATCTACCAATTCACTTTTTGCTAATTCAAAATTATTGGTGTCAGCCTTTTCTGGTAAGAGGTTCTGTTTAAAGACTGTCCTGTGTTTGCCTGGGGATTTTTATAGGAGATGTGCCTACTCATCATGGTCAAACTTTGAATGATCCACAAATACGACCAATGAATCATAATTTATCCAATAAAAATAATTCAACAATTGCTTGTCCTTGTTTAAAATACTTTCGGTCCTTCTTAGTCCATGTCTTTATTGTGTTTTCTGACGCGTTTTCGATTTCTGAACAATCGCGAGGGAAATCTTTCGGAATAGACCGTCATTCGTTAAAAGGTTCGAATGTAGTTCTAAACATAGAATTTACGACTCAAACCATTGTTCTTTGTTCGTCTAAAAATAAAAGCAACGCAAAAAATACTAACCTTTAATTCACTTTTCATCGAAAGTACCTTTTGCGCCGTCTGACGAGACAAATTTGACAAATTTGATTTACTCTTGAAGAACTAACTTCCTGCAATTGAGGAGGTATTTGTGACGTTTTGGTAAAGGTATGTTCAAATAATTATTAGGTTTGTTGCACAAGAATGAGAATCAATAGATGTGATTTTTTCTCAGTCTAAGCCACACGAATAAGTAATTTACGAACACGTGAAACTTTGGTTGATTCCGGTGATTGATCTACAGTACACGTCCTACGTCTACTACGTCTACGCATGTTAATAAGTTTGGTTTATCTCGACGATGTTATAATAATTATTACTGTAGCGCGATTAAATGTTAATTCCCGTTAGGATTGCGTGTTACAGGGATATTAAGGATATTTTCAAAATTTCTTATATTGTATATATTGTATACCCCTGATATCTTGATAACCAATTTAACGACAAAAATCCAATAACAATGGTAATAAAAATCGCGCATCTATAAATCCGAAAAAAAATGTATTTTATTAATACCCACGTAGTACGTAGTAATTATAAATTATGTAAATTAAAAAAAAAAAAAGTTATTTATTATTTAAAATCAAATAATCAAATAACAATAAGTAAAGAAATTCACAATTAAAAAAACCTTCAACAAAGTATTGAAATTTACGTTAAAACAACCTTGAATTACCCTAATTACCCTAATTACCCTAATTACCTAACCCTTCACATATATATAAATATTAAACTCTCATACTAAAATTAAATTAGTATTATTATTATTATTATTATTATTAGTTATTTCCTTAATACGAGACCAACGACTTATTGTACCCTTATTAATATATTTTTTAATAATTTTTGAATAATTTTTCATATTTTCAAATGATTGAGAATATTTAAATTTAAATTTTAAATTATATAAAGAATTTAATCTACAATATTTTAAAAAAATATGAAAAAATTTTATATCCCATTTTACCACCTCTTGATAAATATAAAAAGATTTTAAATTTTTTGATAATTCTTTACCTATCTTATACATTAATAAAGTAATATTTTTATCATCCATAATTTCCAAATTAATTTTTTCCAAATTTTTACAATTTTGTAATATTAAAGGTATATAATAAAGTAATCTACCTTTAATTTTTAAATCAAAATCTCTTAATTTTGGACAATAAGTTGAAATAGTATTAAATAAATGAATATTATGAAAGAATAAACCATCATTTAAAGAAATACCTAATTTTATTAAATTACCATTTGTTTTTTTAATTATATCAGAATATAATTCTAAATCAAGTTTAATTAAAGTACTAGTAGAAAATTTCAAAGTAGTAAGAAAAGGTAAAAATTGAAAATTAGACCAAGATTTTACTATATCAATAGAATCGATTCCTGAATCAGAAATTTCCAAACCAGTAATTTTAGTAAAATTTAAAGATAAATCCAAAGGGATAAATTCATCAGAAGGAATAATTAATTCATAATTATCAGTTATAAAAGAAGTGAATTTAATAAGATTATTAATAATTTTAAATTTAAAATGATCAAAATCAATTTTTAAAAGGTGAATTTTTTTTAAATTATAAAGGAAATTAAATAAAGCAACATTATCAATATCTAATTTAATATAAATTTCATCAATAGTAGAAATAATATTACTTAATTCAATAAAAATTTGAGGGGGAATACAAGATTGAAATTCAACATAATTTAAATTTAATAAAGAAGAATTAGGAGAAATAAAATTTGATAAATATTGTAAATGAGGGAATTTTCTTATTTTATTTTTTATCCAATTAATTAATTTTAAATTATAATTCAATTTTGAAAAAGTTTGAGAAGTAAAAAGTTTAACAAGTTCACCAAATAATAAAATTCTTTTTTGATTCATGATATCATCATCATAACTTTTAATAATTTCGATAGGATCACTTTTATCTAAAGTGATAATATCAAGATTTTCATCATCAGGATTTAATAAAAAATAAGAAACCTTATAAAATAATTCAGTAAAATCCAAATCCCTTAAATAATTATTATAATTACAAAAAGGGGTTGAAATTTTTTGATTAAAATTGATGATATTATTTTCATAAAGAAAATTTTTTGAAGATTCTGATAAACATGAAATATAAGTTGAAATTAATAATTTTGAAGTTGTATAATTTTTTTTATGATTTGGTCTTAAAGGATTTTTCCATAAAAAAATCACGGAATTAGAGAACCAATAACGATCGACCAAGAGACATTTTTGTAAACTAGTAAATTTTCTGATACGAATATCAATAGTTTTATTTGCATAATCAATAAGGATTTGAAAAATATTTTGAAGAATTTCTGGTGGAAAAAAACACGCGGTTGACATTTTATTTAAGGATAGGAAACGATAGGGGAATTTTTTTTTTAAAGAAAAAAAAAAAAAAATGTGTGGGAAAGAATGATTATTTATAAGAAAATTTTTTTAAATCATTTATTGACTAAAATCGGATTGCTAACCTAATACAGTTTAGCTTAATATATTGTCACATCAAATAAATGAAATATAAGGTATAAGGCGTAGTAATTCAACCATTTTTCACGCGTTCAAATTTCATGAAATTTGCAAAAAGATCTTGATTTCATCTAATTTATGTCATTTATGTATGATCGACATAAATTATAACTATATTTGGTAAAGATCACTGACGAATATATGAGTGTCGTAAAATTTGCAATTGTAGAAACTCACGACCGAGGCGTTTTTTTAAATAAATCAGCCCCTATTTTTATAATGAAGTTCTATCAGTCAAAATTTTATACAATAACTTCAAAAGATTTTAAACGTTTTTATAAATTCGAGTTCGACAATTCGTTTGGAATATCATTATGCATAAAAATATTTACAAAATATTTGATTAATCTACCACGTATGAATAACATTATAATTATAAGTAATTTTAATATAATTTGACGAATAAGAAATTATTTTTTTTGATTCCAGTTTTCAGAATTTTTATGGGTCCCTCATATATTATTACTCGATTTAATACTGAATGTACTGAATGTAAGGTATCATCATCCATATGTACCGAAAATCCACGGAGATTGATCATTCTCAACAAACAAGAGATAAAACAATATTTCTTTTTGGATAATAAAAGTTTTTATTTTTAAACTTTTATAAATTTGGTAACGGTATTAGCAAATATCAATGCGATCAAAATTACAGGTAAATTAGGGAGTGATCGACAAACACATTATTCCTTGAAAAAGAAAAGGTAAAAAAAAAAAATTTTTTTTTTTTTTTCTTAAATCCCTTAAAAAGATTAGAGATGAATTTTATTACGGGAGAGGAACCAAAAAAATTGAAATTAAATTTGTGTAATTATTATATAATATAATTCCTTCACGTTTTAATTGTGTAACATTAATAGAGATGATTTGTTTATGAAAATTTATGCAATTCATTTTACATGCGCATTAAAAAAGGTCGATTAACATATAATACCATAAGGTTTTACTCATAATGAATGAAACCGAATATCTTTATATACTTGGATGTACATATACATTACATTTGTTGTTGTTGATTTTTAATATATAAATTAGCGTGGTGCGAAATTTATGGGCTTATGGTTATTTAATGTTGTGTTTAATTTACGCAACTTTTTTTTCTTTTTTGAATATAAATATGTTAAAATTAAAAAAGAAATTGTATTTTAATTTTTTTTTATCTTTTTTTTTTTTATTCTCAATTTTTTTTTTCTTTCTTTAGAACAAAAGAAATTTTAAATGCTAAAGCAGGATTTTTAGCGCAGTATAAAATTACAAAATTATAAATTTTTATATTTACCCTCATTTATATATCATTAGACATTCATCTCATCCCCAGTATTTATATCATTACCTATTAAATATCTTACCGTCATGAAACGTTTTAATGTTATTAATTATAATATTAATAGAGAAAGTATTATAGATTTACCGGATATTCATCATTCTCTTATAATCATACCTGAAACACTTTATGAAAATTCTGATATAATTTCAACAAATTCTGATAACAAATCAACTATTGTTGTTCCTACATTTAAAATAGAAGAGGAGGAAGAGGAGGGAGAAGAAGAAGAAGAAGAAGAAGAAGAAACGGTACAATCAAATGATGACCAATTTGTTGAATCAAATGATAAATCAAGAGAAGTAAATGATGAAAAATCAAAAAATTTCAGTGATATTGATTTATGTGAAACTAAACAAAAGTATGTAATCTTAAATTATTTATAATTTATATATATATACATATATAATTATATATATATTTCATTTCTCATTTCTCTCATATTTCATATATTTCAAGTATTAATTAATATATATATTTGTTATAGAAATTCTTTCTCTGCGGTAAGACCATCGCTTACAATTGACACATCTTCATTACCAGTTTCACATGTTAATAACGAAATATCTAGTAAAAGAAAACATGATTTTGATTGTTTATTTTATTTAAAAAGTAATAAGATTAGATTAATAATTCTTTCTTTAATTATAATTATTGCAGTAGTTATAATTGTTGTTGTTCTAGTAAAAAAATGATATAAAATAATATCTTAGTTTTTTCTTCTTTTCTTTTCGCCTCTTTTTAATATATATTTTTTTTTAAATTGTAATGTATATAATATTTAATTTTAATTATTATTAAAGAAAATGCCCTTTTAATATTTTTATTATAAAATGATTTTTAAAAAAAGCCTTAAAAGCCTTTTTGAAAAAAAAAGATCAACCCCTCTCTTAATTTGGAAGGCCAAGTAAAGCATGATCAAAGAATTGTGGGGAAAATCTTTTCTCCGCAAAAAAAAAAAAAAGATTATAATTTAAATTATATAATTATTGGTGGATTATTTTGGTATAGCACATAAAGTAAAAACACCAATAATGCAAGTATGTAACCGGCTTTAAAATAAGCAGTTCACGTTACTCCAAGAAAACACGTCATTTAAAAATGAATTCAACTCATAAATTAATTCGACAAATTATTCCTGCTTAAAAAATCCTGGATACTGTAGCAAGCTTATTCATATACCAAATATAGTACGAGCAGATATTTGAGTTGCTATTTAAAGCTATTCTCGCTTATTCACCTTTTTTTTTTCTAAAAATAATTTTTGAAACTTTTTTTTTTTTAAAAAAAAATTAGTGCTACCAAGTGTACAGTAATTATTAAATGAACAAACAAATAATGCATATTTGGGTCATCATCTGATCTCAAACAAATGAAATTCAGTTTTTAAATTGAATATCCGATATTGCAATCTTATTCCTATCTCCTGAGATCTAAAGATCAAAGGAGGTGTCTGGTCAGTTTTCCCGAGATGGAAAAGCAGGTAAATTCAATACGTCGAGATCAGAACAAATTGATGTGCTTAGAGACAATAATCATGTATCACAAGGTGCATCCCGATCTTTGTAGTTTATTTTTTGCGTTGCATAAAGCTATTATTGTATTAATAAACAATTCTTGAATATTTGGTAATCGAAATATCAAATGGTATGAATGGAATTATAATAATTCTCCCAATGCTATAAAGGTAAAGAATCTACATAATTTTTTCGTTTATTCTTTTAAGAAGGTTGCCAAATTGTCATTAATCATGATCATGTGATAAATATTTGAATTTTCAACTAACGCCACCATAATTTTATTCGCATAAGCAAATACAACATTTCAAATTATATTTCTATATACTAATTATATAGCCACTAAAAAAAATCTAGAAAATTTACGAATATCTATATACTCAATTATGTAGTTACTAAAAATTATATTTAAAAAATTCACAGATTAGACGAGCTCTAACCCTAACCCTAACCGAATTTATCAAATACATCTTTATACCAGCAGCCGCATCAAAGATGGATTTTAGACTCCCTTCCCGGATGAAGCATCTCTACTGGCGTATATTTCCCTTCATTGATAGTATTATTTCCTCTGGTTCCTTAAAGTTAAAAAGGCATGAGAATTTGTTATTAATCAGTAGAACTTTAATAGACTTACCAGCTGATCTGGTCTTAATAATCTCCCCAACTGATTTACCATTCTTACGAGCTTCTGTTTCCTTAGCTTTTTTGAATGCTAGAAGTTCAAAAGATTATATTTTAATATATTGAGATTTCGTAAATGTTCTAGTGATTATAAATACCTAAAATTTCGTCGTCTTCTTCAAATGGTTTACCGACTTCTAACCACTTTTTCAATTCAGTTATATTAATATTTTTTTTTTTGCGCGCTCCATTTGAGTTGAAAAAAAGTCATATGGATCAGATTTAATGGCTTTTAAAAATTGAATCCAATGTAAAACTGTGTCTGGCATTTCATGAGCTTTTCTTCCTGGTAAAAGTCTTGTAATGTTACCATTATTGTATAATATTCATGGTCTTAAATGCTCTAGTGATTCTAAGGGACTTTTGTGAGCTAACAGTTCGTCCAACATTTTGAGTAGGTTTTTTTTTGCGTTAGAAAGTTAAATAGTGAGTCGCTTGTTATTGTTAACTGATTATCAAAAAAGCTCTGACACGTGATTTATTACACGTGATTCTGCATTACATCAATTAATATTAACCGGCTGTTAAAATATTCTTTAAATCCTTGGAAAGATTTTCTGATAATCTGAAAACTACAATTAGTTTTGGCAAAGAAGTGAGGCCAGATTTAGAAAATGAATACTTGAAATTAGAAAATGATTATCACGTTAATCATAAAAATTTTTAAAATCATTACCGTTTACTTATCCGAAATAAACGCTTTGACAATAATAATGAAATTTATAAATTTGACGAATAAGATATTAATAATTAAAGCACTTGTTAATTATTATAAAGTGATAGTAATACGTATTAATAAATAAATTTTAAGTATTTAATAGCATTGACAGATTAAATACTATTTAATAATACATATAATACGATATTTTTTATAAAATGCAAATATTTTTATTTTGTTCAAAATATTAAAGATGCAAATTAAAGACAAAATTCCAAAACAACTTAAAGTAAGCATTAATTAAAGTAGTAATTGCTATTTAAAATTCAGATTGTATTATATTTTAATTGCATGTATTTATTTAATAGTCAAAATTATATAAAATAGTGGAATTTTTTAACAAATATTTTTTTTAAGAAAAATGAGTAAACTTGTGAGTTTTGCAAACAACACGTTACTTGCACTCCTTTAGATTATAATTCATATTGCAACATTTATGGTTGTAAAAGTAAAAACAAGCACAATCATAAACTTTGCAAAAGTTGTTATTGGTAAATTACTGCGACACCCATGTACTCCATTGATTTCATCACCCAGTAACACTTGGCACACGGAAGAATCAGCCTTATTCTTCCATATTTTAATTCGATCTTTCGGAAGTACAAGGTGACAAAGCTTTTTCTCTGCCCGTACATTGCCCTCAGGGGTATTGACTCGGAGCAATGACCCCAATTGTGATGACAGTGCTCGGATTCTTGTTGAACATTCAGATAGCACCATAGGATTGCAGGCATTGTTCTTACTCTCCTCATCGCTATTTCCAGTTGTCGAATTCTGTTATTTTCATACATATCCCACTGCGAATTGATGTCCTGAACATTATTTGTACAATCTTCCTTCTTCTACTGAAATCGTCAAATTCACTGTTGATGTGCGGTTCATCTTGTTCATTTCCATCATAGTGATTCTGTTGATCAAGGCGACTTGCATTCTGGCAAGGTAATTTAATTTGTCTTGATAATTTATCTTCTACTTGAAACTTATCTTCATTATATAGTGCGTCTACAATAGGCATACTTTGTCCCAAATCGGTACTATTAGAACTGATTAACAAAGAGGTAGGCTTATCATAATGCCTGTGATCCTGAATGGTATTATGATTTCTTGAGTTCTACATAAAAAAAATTGTTAAATACATATTCTTTTTTCTATCTTTAAAAACTAAGATGTTATATATACATGAAAGATATCACAAAAGAAATTATCAATCTTCTCGCCCATGACTTTTGTAATTATATGTGTCATAATGATGCTTTATAGAATTACATCATAATTACAATTTTGTTGCACGTTGAATATCAGGTGTAGTGTTGTTAAGTCCAAGTCACACCGATGGGGTCGATTCAGCTTGACTTGATATTCCTTGAGGAAATCCAAGTTGCGGTTCGGCCTGACTTGAAAGAGACAAGTTGATGGGGGTCGATGGGTTCAATGGAGTCGATGGAACTAATGTTAGATTTCAATCTAATTTTCATAAAAAAATTAAAGAAACGTAAGTAACGTTTCAAAATTAATCCCTCTCCAGCTCCTCTTCCTTCAAAGAGCTCAGTATTTAAATCCTGTGCAGTTGTCTGTGCTCACCTAAGATAAAAAGGAAATATAATAATATCTTTTCTTTCAATAACAATATAACTTTTCACTCCCTTTACCCAAGGAGCCGGTACCTATAAAATAAGAAAGAAACGTTAGTAATGTTCTACTAATGTTTCCTAAATTTCCACCTTCTAATTCCAGCTCAACCCACCTTTCATGTCCGGAATCTGGAACTTTAGACGTCCAAAGCTGGTGTCCAATAACTACGCGTCCTAAAAAATAAAAGAAAAATGGTTAGTATCTATAAAAAAACACAAAAAATTAATTACATTCTTCCGCTTCTAAATTCTAACCAACATACTTTCTATGTCTTAAATCCGAGGTTCACAAGTCCAAAAGCTGGTGTTCACGTCCTAAATAGTAAAGAAAAAGGTAGTTAATGATTTCTGTAAAAAATTGCTACACTCTCTTCTGACCATTATACCTTCCATAATTCCATGTTCGAAAGCCGGAAGTTCAGGTACCCAAGAGCTGATGTTCTGTTCTTACAAAATAAAAGAAAAAGTAGTTAGTAATCTAGTATAATGATTATTTCTTAAAGAAATATATATACAGTATATATAAAATAGTTTCTGAGAGCATAGTTCCAATAATTATTTATTTTAATAATTTATTTTTAATAGCTCCACATTTTACAATTTATAAACTACTTACTGAATAAGAAATCAATTTATACAGAATGTTTATAAAAATGAAACCGAGTATATAGAATGTATAGAGAATGTAAAAAACTTGGTTTAAAAAAAAGCATTACAAAAAAAATAAAAAAAAACGTATCGGTAATAAAAAGGGGAAATTATTTATCGAGGTACACAAAAAAATTCTGATATCATTTTTTTAATCGGAGTTAGCATCATTTTGGTTTTTGTAAGATCACGTGACGACGAACGAGGGATTATTTTTAAACTTCTACTTACCCGAACTTACCCCTTACGCTTTTTTTATCCCTTGTGTAAAAAAAAACATTTTTGGCGTTTATTAATGCGGAATTCTCCATTTGGTAAATAACGAATGAGAAAATGTAAGCACTAGTTCTAATAATGAACATCAGTTATTGATTAAAATAAAATACTTTCAACAATAATAAAAAACCTATTAAACTACATATCATACATTCATACCCTTAAAGTCAATAATAATTTTATCAATTATACTATGGAATTAAAGGTATTTCGCATTCATATAAGTCTCTTCATAAAATATAAGCACTACCACTTTGCCATTATAATAAAGAAGTTTGTTGACGAGAAATTCATAGCAAGAATAGAAAGGAGATGATTAATTAAATATTGAAACAAATAAAATCATTTATTTTTCAAAAATATTTAAAATATTCTTCTAATGACAAGGCAATTCAGACAATTTAATTGTAGTGATATAAATACATGAAGTTACTTTTTTTATCATTATGTCATCTCTTTAAAATGGTTTTTTCAGGTTAATACATTGTTTGCATAAAGTATGAGAGTGCGGACTATGAACGTGACATCCAGTAAAAACTACAGGAACGTATTCCCTTTGGGAACATATACATAATTTTCAAAATAGTGCAAAGAGTGTGTGCATTTGTATTTTAGGTTTTATTTTAAATTGATCGACTGATCACAAAAATGTACTTTAAAATGTAGAAAATGTAATGAATTATTATAAACTCACTTAAATGTCAAATAAATTTATAAAATCTATTAAATAAATATATAGAAATTTTTATTCTCGAGAATATTAAATACGCGACCAAAGTGCCATTTGCTCATTTCTCCCCGTTTAAATGTTGTTAACCATGGTCAACCATGATTTGGTTAACCAAAGGTTAACTCAATGAGGATCAGCATGCATTAAATAAAATATGATAAAATAATAATTCGTGTTTTGCCGCCCCACATTTTCAAAAATGTCAAACACTATAAAAAGGTAACATTTTTCCTCAATTCTTTCAAATTTAATTTAATACTATCTAGTAAAATAAACAAACCATAAGTGTTTCTGTGCTCTTCTCTCGCCGATGGACGAAGTAATAAAAGTAGATGATGCCGTTACTCTCGCTACTAAGTTTAGAATACCCAAAAGAACGATATTGATATCGATTGTAAACGAAAGTAAATACACGCTCACGAACGTATCAATGTATTTTAATGGGACCAGTATTAATCCGGCAAGCCCTAATATTGCCCCCTTTACAGATCTATCTAATGCGTAAGTATAAAACTGAGTTTAATAAAGTTTTACTTTTTTCCTATTTATTATTAACGTTATATTATAAAATCAGACGTTTTGAAGCTACATTAAACGGAACAAAGGGGATGCTCTGTTATCAGATTGAGGGAACACCAAATTATCTACTAATAAGTTGGAAAGTACCACTTCTTAGACATCGCAAAAACGAACTTTGTGTCCATGTTTGTACAAACCGACCTCCTAAAAAACAAAAAGAAAAGAATATTTTCCGAAAACATATACATAAAAAGTACAAAAAGTTTCCCGACGAGAGTATCCAAATTGACCATTATGATTTTAGAGTTAGCGCTACCATGTCTAGCGAGTAAGTATTTCATATACGTACGTCACAATTATATTGAATCATGTGATTAATCAATTTACTGTATATGCTGAATTTGTAGTACCTCGGCAGGTATGAGAGTTCATCTTATCCCACGAAGGAAATTATTTGTTTTAAATTTCGTCACCTCGAATTTTTTTATTATTATTATCATATTTTCTTTTTTATTCTTTTATTTTCATTAAGCAATTTTTTCAACGATATCATTCATATGATCATTTTCATTTAAGATATTATATAAATTGTTTTTTTATAGTATTTAATTTATTTCATTAGGCAAAATATAATTAAAATTGTCTAATATAAGATACAATATATTATGTAACTTATAGTTGTTCAGATAAAACAATAAATAAACATAAACTTAAGATTATTATTCAAATCCCGTGATCCTAAAAAAAGTATTACCGGTTGTCGTTGATTATTTTAGCATTTCAAATTTCAAAACTCAGCTTACTGATTCAAAATTCTTGTATCAGTTAATACTGTGAAATTGCAATTTAACGATAAACTATTTTTGATATTTATTATTTGAATAATTCCATATGCATGTTATCGGATAATACGTTCCCTAAAAACCGTATGCTAAATTTTGAAATAGAACTCATAATAGCAAAAATAGATCGTTGAGTGTATATTTTTTTTATTTCAGGCAAAAAATTTATCATTAAGAGCTTTCATTCATCGAATTCAAATTTCATAATCTTTAATTACCTTAAGAATAAAAACTGTAGAAATAAATTACATATAAGTGAATTTGGAACATAGAATTATTATTCATAAAAATATCTTAAATATTTGAATCTAGTTTAATAATTAATTCTTCATATTTTACAAGTTGCATATATCAATAAAAATGATAGACTACCATGGTAAACCAAACCATGTCCTTCGTGGGGTTGTTAGATAAACCTTCATTTCTGCCGAAGAACTGTAAATTCAGCGTTTAATTATTAATCATGTGATCTAATATAATTGGTATGTATATAAAAAACTTACCCGCTAGATATGGTAGCGCTAACTCTAAAATCATCATAGTTAAGCTGAATACTCTCATCGGGGAATATTTTGTTTGTTTTATGCATATTTTTGCGAAAAATATTTTTTTCTTTTTGTTCTTCAGGGAGTCGGTTTGTACAAACATGGACACAAAGTTCGTTTTTGCGATGTCTAAGAAGTGGTACTTTCCAACTTATTAGTAAATAATTTGGTGTTCCTTCAATCTGATAACAGAGCATTCCTTTTGTTCCGTGTAATGTAGCTTCAAACCGTCTGATTTTATAATATGCGTTAATAATAAATAGGAAAAAAAGTAAAACTTTATCTTAATTTTATTTATACTTGCATATTTGAAGGATCTGTAAAAGGGGCAATATTGGGGTTTGCCGGATTAACACTGTTTCCATTAAAACACATTGTAACGTTCGTGAGAGTGTATTCACTTTTGTTTACAATTGATATCGAAATCTCTCTTTTGGGTATTTTAAATTTAGTAGCGAGAGTAACGACTCCCTTTACAATTAATTCATACATAGAAGAATTGCGGGAAACACTTATAACTTGTTTATTTTACGAGATAGTATTTGATTAAATTTAAAAGAATAGAGGGAAATTTTTTCACCTTTTTATAATATTTTGAAAATGCATAAAACACGATTATTATTATATCATATTTTATTTAATGCTGATCCCATGGTTAACCTTCAGGTTAACCTTTGGTTAACCAAATCATGGTTAACCACGGTTAACATCATTTAAACGGAAAGAAACGAGCAAATTGTATATTGCCGCATATTTAAAATTTTTCGAGAATAAAAATTGGCATACATTTATTTAATGATTTAAAAAAATTACCTTGACCTTTAGATGCGTTTAATATAAATTCATTATCAAGAGTTTATTTTATCATCGTATTTTGTTATTTTTGTATTACCATATTGGAACTTTTGTACTGCGTTGCCCAAATAATACTATAATTAAAAATGGGATTTAATATATAAAAATTTTTATAAGACGATAGTTTCATTAGCAGAATACGAGATTCGGGGTAATATTTAATTCAGTAATATTAGAATACAATGCTTTCATATCATGATTCTACCTTAAAAAAATTTTATTAGAGATAATAAACTATTTATATTTATAGAACAAATTTAAAATTTTAGCACCATCGAGAAATTAAATTATACAATAATAATTTTTATTTTTATTCCCTTATTAAATTTCGAAAAATGCAATGAAATACATACAATTGATTCAAATTTTATTTTCTATACTTTTTGATACCGATAAAAAGTTTCTTCTAAATTTTTCTCCCTACCTAAATTATACTTATAAAAAAAACCAAGTTGAGCTTGTGCATCAGTATATCCTTGTTTAGCTGATTTTTTATACCATTTAAACGCTTTAACTTCATCTTTTTTAACACCAATTCCAACTTCATAACATACACCTAAATTATATTGTGCGTATTTGTCACCATATTTTGCTGCTCTTTCATACCAATAAAAAGCTTCTTTTAAATTCTTTTCTGTACCTATACCATTTTTATAAAAGGAGCCAACTTGAGATTGCGCTTTACTATATTCTTGTATAGCTGATTTTTTATACCATTCAAGTGCTTTAACTTTATTTTCTTCAACACCAACCCCATCTTCATAACATGCTCCCAAATTATATTGTGCAAATTTATTTTCATTTTCTGCTGCTTTTTGATACCAACAAAAAGCTGCTTCTAAATCTTTTTCTATACCTATACCATTTTCATATAGATAACCAAGTTTGTTTTGCGCTTTACTATATTCTTCTTCTGTTAATTTTTTATACAATTCAAATGCTTTAACTTCATCCTTTTCAACACCAATTCCATTTTCATAACATACAGCCAAATTATATTGTGCTTCTTTACATTCATTATTTTCTGCCGCTTTTTGATACCAATAAAAGGCTTTTTCTAAATCTTTTTCTGTACCAATACCATTCCTATAACAAGTTCCTAAACTATCTTGTGCATCAGTATATCCTTGTTCCGCCGATTTTTTATACCATTCAAGTGCTTTAGCTTCATCTTTTTCAATACCATCTCCATATTCATAACATAAAGCAAGATTATATTGTGCTTTTTCATCCCCATTTTCTACAGCTTTTTGATTCCAATAAAAAGCTTTTGAATGTTCATCCGTTCCTATACCATAATTATAAAAATATCCAAGTTTGTTTTGTTTTTCATTATGTTCTTGTTCAGCTGATTTTTTATACCATTTAAGTGCTTCATTTACATCTTTTTCAATACCATCTCCATTTATATAACATAATCCTAAATTATATTGTGCTTCTTTACATCCATTTTCTGCTGCTTTTTGATACCAATTAAAGGCTTCTTCTAAATCTTTTTCTGTACCAACACCATTTTTATAAAAAAATCCAAGTCTACATTGTGCTTTACTGTACTCTTTTTCAGCTGATTTTTTATACCATTCGAATGCTTTATATTCATCTTTTTCAAAACCATCTCCATTTTCATAACATTTACCTAAAAAATACTGTGCAAAAACATTTCCATTTTCTGCATCTTTTTGATACCATTGAACAGCAGATGGATAAGAAGAGAGCATTTCAACCAATGTTAATGCTTTATTTAGTAAAAGTTTAAAAGGTTTTTGCTCTTCTTCGTTCAAATAGCTTCCAAAGTTATGTCTAGTTTTCGGTGATTTTGCATTATCCGGTGCATCTGAACATTTATCAAGATGATTTTGCATCCGCTTAGGAATAGCTCGTTCAAATACTTTTTGACGACAATAATTACATTGTGCACGAGGATGTTTTTTATTTTTATCTTTCTTAATGACTGTCCAATGTTTCCAAACTTGTTTCTTTTCTCTTTCCATTTGATTATTAGTTTATTATAAACAAATTGTACATGCGATTACTAAAACTGTTTCAGGTACTTGCACAAATTCACGTGATTTGATTTCACAAAGCACTGTTTTTGTCTATTAAACCATAGCCCCCAATAAACATAACTAAAAAGGTATTGTACTGTACTATGTTATTTGGAATTTCATTATTTTTTTTCTAAAAGTGATTATTTAAATATTTATATATGAAGAAATAAAAAAAAACAAATTATTTTCTAAAATTAGAAATGGGCTAAGCGTATTTTTTTTTTTTAACAAAGAAATTGCATATGCATATTCTAATTGGCGTATAGGTTGCTATGACATTGATTATTTATAAATATAGTCGGGATACTGATTAAGTATATTATATGTATATTCGGTAAATTTCGGGAAATTTTTCCTTAAATACTGTCTCAATTTGAATTTCATCAATTTCATCTCAAAATCCCATACTTATATATAACAATGAGTTACATGAGTTACTCAATTGAAGAAATAAATGACGAAAAATATATTCGTTTTTTGGATCTTAATCTTTCATCAATCATTCAAAGTTATTTTCCACGTGAAGATTTGTTCCATAATGCGGTTGTATAGTGTATAAAATAATTGCATAATTACATAAAATGCTTCTAATATTAATACTTTTTCAAATAAAATAGCTTCCAGCAAAGAATTTACTATCCATTTTGAATAATCTTAAAATTAATTACGGTTCTTATTTTCCTGATTTGATTAATTGGATCGAAAATCAGTATAAAGATGAAATTAAACTAATCCGAATAATAACTGAAAAAGTAAATTCAAAGTAATATAACCTTCATTGAAATAGTTTTGTTTGATAAAGTTATCAATCCTCTAATTATTCTTTCAGGGATTTATTAAATTTGACAATCTAGCCCAATTGTTTCCAATAGGTATAAATTTTTTATATCTCATATGTTAATTTTTTCATAATTATATTAACCTATTACACATGTTTAAGGTCAACATGTATACGCTGAAAAAGATGGAACTATAATTGGAGAAAAAGTTACTGGAACAGAAATAAAATATTACAACACCATCGAACACTTTATAGTTAATGTTAAAGCAATTGATTCAGGTTTACATCATTATTTTTTTATTATTGTTATTTGTCAAAATTTTGTTACTTATTCATTTGGATTTTTATAGGTGGTCACTCATTTATTCGTACAACCAATTCTTACAGAATTGATTTCTGGAAAGGCTTACGTAAAATCAATAAACTTCCAATCATTCCATTATTAAAAGAGGATGAAATTTACAATAGATTAGTAGAACGTGGAAAAAAGTTCATAAAATATGCAATAGGTCATCATTTTCTCCAACATTCTAGAAAATATAGTAAAGGTCGTATTATGATTGATGTTTCCAGATATAATAGTACACATTCAGATTACGAAAAAGGTATAGAAATGGATGGTGTTAAAGAAGAAGAACTCTTCATGTGTGCATCTAAACTTCGTGCATATAGTTTTACGTGGAAAGAATGGTATCGTATCGATGTTGAACAATTAAGCGGTATAATTTTAAAACTTAACACTAATTCTTTTACTTTATTTTGCATTTATTTCTTACATTTTGCTCTAATTTTAGAAATAACGTTTGATGACAAAGCATTTGATAAACTTGTTCTTGATCAAACAAGAAAAAGTCTAATTGAAAGTCTTGTGAAATTTGAGTATAGTAAAACAGATATTATTAGTAATAAAGGTGATGGATGTACTTTTTTGTTACATGGTCCTCCTGGAGGTTTGTTATTTTTAATTATCTTCTTGCCTATGATAATGAGTCATGTAAATTTAACAACAATTATCTTTAACAGTTGGAAAAACATTAACTGCTGAAGCAATTTCTGAGAAACTTCATCGTCCATTATATATTGTTAGTATTGGGGAATTAGGAACAGATGCAAAAAATTTAGAAAAAGAATTAAGAAATATTTTTGAGATGGCAGATATTTGGAATGCTATTATTTTAATTGATGAAGGTAAAATATGTATTGATACATCAATTGATTGATATTTTACTCTAACCATTTATTACAATTATACATATAGTTGATATTTTTCTTGAACGTCGAAATGCATTTGAAGTTAAACGTAATGCTCTAGTATGTGTATTTTTAAGATTACTCGATTATCATCAAGGAATTGTATTTTTAACCACGAATCGAGGTAGGAACTTTTAAAATATAATACTTTTAAAGTTTATTCCAGTGCTTAATATATTCAACTCTATAGTAAATTGCCTTGATGATGCTTTCCAAACTCGTATTTCAATTTTCTTAGAATACAAAGAACTGGACACTAAAGGTAAACTACCTTTTTATTATAAAAAATTGTTACTCTTATTAATTATTTTTTTTTATATTTATAGCACGTGAAACATTATGGAGTACATTCTTGGAATTTTTAGATTATGACCCTAATAATAATGTGAATGTTAAAAAATTAAGTGAAAAACATCAACTAAATGGAAGAGAGATTAAAAACATTGTAAAATTGGCAAGGGTAAATACAAATACATGATTTTAATATAAATTTAATAAGACTAACTTTGTTTTAATTAGGCATTAAATAAGGAAAAAAATGAATTAATTACTACAGAATTACTAGAAAAAATTATCAATATTTCAAGTAAGAAAACATTAGAAAAAAGTGCTGAAGGTAAGAAAAAAAGACCCGAATTGTTAAATTAGTATTGGATTTTAATTTTTTTCAATTCTTTTTAGAAACCCAATCAGAAGGAAATAAAAGGAAGTCTGGAATCAATGACCAGGACAACCAACCAAATTCGAAGAAAATCAAATAATAACTAGCACAAATGTAATTAAATGTGTACCCTTTGCATAGTCCTTCGCTGCGCTCCGGACTAATAACTAAATGAATGTTATTCATTGAATAAAAAAATGTATAATTAATTAATTACTTATTTTAGGTTTATTATTAAAATAATTTATTACCAATTAAATTATAATTTCTCGTAAATTTATAGAATAAAAACTTGTAAAATAAATAATTCATTCTTTTCAACACCACTAACTCTATTTTCATAACATACAGCCAAACTATATTGCGCTTCTTTACATTGCCGCTTTTGATACCAATAAAACGCTTGTTCTAAATCTTTTCTCCATTTTATAAAAATCCAAGTTTACATAGTGCCTGATTGTTTATACCATTCGAATGCTTTATATTCATCTTTTCAAAACCATTCCCATATTCGTAACATCTACCTAAAACTGCCCTATAAAAAATGTTAGTTCGTGTTTTGTATTCCGTGTTTTTTCCATGAATGTATCCGGAGTTTTTCGGAAATCACTGCATTTTCATCCAATGTTTAATGTCTGATAACAATAGGCTGATTTGGTTGTTGAACCGCAACTAAACCCTATAATAGTTTTCATTTTGTTTTTTCTAAAAGTGATTATTTAATAAAGTATAAGAAAATAATTTCTAAAATTAGAAATGGGCTAAGCGTATTTTTTTTTTAACAAAGAAATTGCATGCATAGTGTATGCATGTTCTAATTTTTAGCTATGGTTATATATATGTTTGAATAAAATTTTCCTTAGAAGCCGTCTCAATTCTGAATCTAATCACAAAATCCATACTTATATAACAATGAATTACTCAATTGAAGAAATAAATGATATGAAATATATTCGTTTTTTGGACGGTAAACTTCTGTCAATCATGCAAAGTTATTTTCCATATGAAGACTTGTTCCGCAATGCGGTTGTATAGTGTATAAATAATTGTATAATTACATAAAATGCTTCTAATATTAATACTTTTTCAAATAAAATAGCTTCCAGCAAGGAATTTACTATCCATTTTGAATAATCTTAAAAATAATCACGGTCCTTATTTTCCTGATTTGATTAATTGGGTCGAAGAACAGTATAAAGATGAAATTAAATTAATCCAGATAATAACTAATAATGTAAATTCAGAGTAATGTAACCTTTCTTGAATTGTTTTGTGTGATAGAATTATCCATTCTCAAATTATACTTGCTTTCAGGGATTTATTGAATTTAAAAATTTAGCCCAATTGTTTCCAATAGGTATAATTGTTGTATCTCATATATTTTAATGCTTGTTAATTTCATAATTATATTAATCAATTACACATGTTAAAGGTCAAAATGTATACATTAAATTGGATGGAACCATAATTGGAGCGAAAGTTATTATGACATATTATGATTATGAAAATTTTATTATTGATTTGGAAGTAATTAATTCAGGTTTGCATCATTATTTTTTTTATTACTATTTGTTAAAATCTTGCTTCTTGATTCTTTAATTTATTTTGATTTTTTTAGATGGTTACTCATTTATTTATGAGAAATATTATACATTTATTGATTTCTGGAAAGGCTTATGTAAAATCAATAAGCTTCCAATAATTCCATTATCAAAAGAGGATAATATTTATAATAAATTAGTAGCACGTGGAAAAAAGTTCATAAAATATGCAATAGGTCATCATTTTTTACAACATTCACATTCTAGTAAATATAGTAAAGGTCGTATTATGGTTGATATTTCCAATTATAAGAATTACAGTTTAGCTAGTAGTATTTTCAATAATAATTGTTATCTTGAATACTTAGAAGATATAAAAATAAATGATGATGTTAAAGAAGAAGAACTCTTCATGTGTGTATCTAAACTTCCTGCATATAGTTTTACATGGAAAGATTGGCATTTTATTGATGTTGAGCATTTAAATGGTAAAATCTTAAAAGTTAATACTAGTTTTTTACTTATTTTATATTTATTTTACATTTATTCAATTTAGAAATAACGTTTGATAACGAAGCATTTGATAAACTTGTTCTTGATCAGGAAAAAAAAAGTATCATTGAAAATATTATAAAATTTGAATATAGTAAAACAGATATTATTAATAGTAAAGGTGATGGATATACTTTTTTGTTACATGGTCCTTCTGGAGGTTTGTTATTATTAATTATTTTCTTATTTATGATAATAAATCATGTAAATTTAACAATAATTATTTATAATAGTTGGAAAAACATTAACTGTTGAAGCAATTTCTGAGAAACTTCATCATCCATTATATTCTATTAGTACTGGAGAATTAGGAACAAATGCAAAAGATTTAGAAAACAATTTAAGAAATATTTTTAATCTAGCATATTATTGGAATGCTATTATTTTAATTGATGAAGGTAAAATATTTATTGATATATCAATTGATTTATATTTTATTTTAACTATTTTTATAATTATATATATAATAGTTGATATTTTTTTTGAATGTCAAAATGTACATGAAGTTAATCATAATGCTCTAGTATGCGTATTTTTAAGATTACTTGAATATCATCAAGGAATTGTATTCTTAACAACAAATCGAGGTAGAAATTTTTAAATGGAATACTTTTAAAAAATTTATTCTAATGCTTAATATATTTTTATTTTATAGTATATTGCTTTGATGATACTTTTCAATTTCATATTTCAATTTCCTTAGAATATAAGGAACCAGACATTAAAGGTAAATTACCTTTTTATTATTAACAATTATTATAACTTAAATTAATTATAATTTTTTTTATATTTATAGCACGTGAAATATTATGGAATACATTTTTGGAATTTTTAGATTACAACCCTAATAATGTGAATATTAAAAAATTAAGTGATATACATTTAAATGGAAGAGAGATTCAAAATACTGTAAAATTAGCAAGTGTAAATATAATTACAATATATAAAAATATATAATTTTAATATATATTAAATTTAATAAGATAAATTTTATTTTAATTAGACATTAAATAGGGAATTAATTACTACAGAACTACTAGAAAAATTTATCAATTTAACAAGTAAGAAAATATTAGTAAGCAGTGCTGATGGTAAGAAAAAAAATTCTAAATTGTTAAATTAATATTTTAATTTTTTTTAATTCTTTTTTTTTCCTATAAAAAACTTAATTAAAGGAAATAAAAGAAAGTCTGGAATCAATGATCAAGACAACCAACCAAATTCAAAGAAAATAAAATAATGGTAAACTAATTTATAAACTTAAATTAAATAAATGTGACTGTTAATTATTTATTTAAAATTTATTAATAAAAATAATTTATTAATGACTAAATTATAATTTATATATAATAGATAATTGAGTTTAAAACTAATAAGCATTTTTGATATAGCTTAGGTAAAAAAATTATTAATAAAGAAAATATTCAAAATCAATATAAATAATTAGAATATATGATTTGCTGAGAAATTTCATTTCCTAAATATAACATTTATAATTAAAAAAATTCTTTGATATAAATAAATTGAATTGTATAAAATATTATTAAATAATAAAATTTTATTATAATTAGATCTTATAAAAAATCATGTTTTTAATAAGATTTTATACAATTTTTTCTTAAAATGTATTGTTTGCATGATTTAACCATAATTTATACTGAATTTATATTGATTTAATCACAGAATTACATAATTTAAGTATAGAATTTACATAATTTAATCAATGAATTTACTGCTTAAATTACAATTATTAATATTAATTGCATTTATATAAATTTGATTTTATTTTATTAAATTATTAAATCAAATATAAAAATAAAATAAATCCTTAGTATCATATCATTCATGTGATTATAATTAGTCAATAATATAAATTAATTTTTATCATTTAAAATTATAACATAACAGATAAATTGTAATAAATATTCTAAAATTAATACAGCTACAAAAAAATAAAATTTTTATAAAAATTAATATTCAAGTGATTTTAATTTACTTAAGGCTCAAATATCTCTTATACAACTCACATTAAAGTTTGTATAGAGTTTATATATTAATTTAGCCAGAATTGTATATTTCAGAAGTATTTTTAAAATTTTCTTATCCTACATATTCTGTTTTAAGTAATCTAGTGATTGGATTTTAATGAATTTAAATTTATTGAATTCATCTTAATAAAATGAATCTTTAAACAATTTTACCAAAAATATTTAAAAACAGAAAATTGTAAAACATTTCACAGATGACTAAACTTTTATAAGTTTTACCAGTTTTTACAATTATATTTATATATAATTTCACATTTTATTATTTATGTGATACTCTAATTAATTTTTGCAATTTTACAATTATTATTTATTAATTATATAATACTTTAATCAATTAATAGTTACAAATTTATTATTTAATTTTTATATGATTTAACGTAAAAAAAATTAACTTTCTAACTTATATTTATTTATCAAATTATTAATATTATTTTTTTTTTTTTTTTTTTTTTAAAAAA